TCTCCTTTAGAAGAAGAGCTCCATATGAAGATATAGAAAATGATCAAATTTTAAAACTAAAATTTTTGAAATTTTTCTATGCCAAATGATAGTTGACAGCTTAAGATATCATATCTAAAAAATTAATTTAATCTGGTGGTTAATTTGTTGACCCCCAGCCTCCTTAAAGTCATATATGGCGTATTTTTATAAATTCAGACTAACTAAAATTAAAAAAAAGATCTTTCTATTTGTTTTTTTACCTTATATAAAGATAGGACTTTCCTGTAAATTACACAATTTAAATCAATCACGTTTCAAAGATATTAGAAATCTAAAACAATAACCGATTTATTCACCGGCTTCGCATTTAATAGCGATTCTCTATAACCACTTAAACTTCTTTGGCACGCATGGTCACCGATTTTGATGAAACTTTGCCCATTATTACAACTTGACACCAGAAACATATATCAAATAAAATTTCGTTGCTATGTGTCTTGGTTGCCATGGTAACAACCAAGCTACTTTGAATCTTTATTAAGCCTTAATAAAGACTAAGAAAAACAAACAAACTATTCTCACAAAAACATGACACCTTGTTGCCACTTATGCTATAAAGAAAATATTTAGAATTTATCTCTAAGTAAGTGGTAACCATGGGTACATTTTGAATACATTTTAGATGCTGAAAAATGCTGAAAAACGCTCAATATTCACTAATGACAGATGTTACATGATCAAACTCAATCAACAACCAAAGAAAAACAATAAAAATATTTGACCTTAAGTAATTAGGTGTTGGCAATATTATTCTAAAAATAACTTCCATGGTTGCCATGGTAACACAGTGTAACCATGCAAAATCTGTTGCTAAGGTTGGGATAATGCTACTATCTTGAGGAAAAACAATAAAGTTCATGAATGGCACATATACATCCTTAGGACCTTGCAACACCAACAACATATGAAATATTGGGATTAATTGTTACTTTGCAGTGTAACCATGGAAACAACGTACCAGTTGTTTAAAGTGATATTTTTTTGCTGCTTTAAGAGTTTACTTACCTTTTAATCAAGAAACATATTATTTGACTCACCTTGAATAGAGCTTATTTGGTAGCATTTAAGTTGAATATCATATAATGATAAGATTTGTTGAAAAATACAACACTGTTGCTATGGTCACAAGAAGGGAAAATGTTCGATTTTGTTAATGTTATATCAATATTAAATCCTATATGCCAGCTTTTTGCATCCGGTTAGAGATTGGGTAGTAGTCAAAATTGAAAGTCAGGTTAGCTGTTCATATATATCAATCATAAAAGTTCTGGGAATCTACATATAAGGGTACGTATCCAAGGAAACAAAATATTTTAAAGATTTTTATGCATATTTTTTCGGCTAATTTCCATAGCAACGCTCCATTTAAAGAATTGAATTTGAATTTTTTGAAATGTGAAAATTAGGGTCACACCAGTGCCTTTAAAAACTGATCATCAGTTATATAGAAATATGCTTTTCAAAAAGGCAGAATAAGATTAAAACGCTAAGAGAGTAAATTTAAAATCCCTTTGTGGTATTAAGACCATGGCAACCATTGCCAACCTATAAGAAATATCATATATCGTCTTTGGTATATGTTACAAGGATCTGCTTGCATTTAAACCTATAATTGTTTTTATTCTTAAGTGTATGACTTAAAAAATTAAATGAACAAAATTAATACTTTTGAACACTTTGTTTCCATAGTAACGTATGTAATAATGATTTACCAAACATGTTTATCATGCATTTAAGACATCAGGCCTTCAATTTTCAGAAACAGTCATTGCCACTTGTTTGCTTTGCTGCAAACGTTAACTGTGGGACTCTGAACATGTTGAAAAATGCCATTTTTCAAACTTTAGGACATGTTGCTATGGTAACCATGATACGTAGCAACCAATTTTTGCCTGATTTGAGTTTACGGTATCAAAGACTTTTTTCATAGAGAGTTTGGAGAAATTCTGAGACTATGTGTGCCACAGCTCCTATATAAAAGTTAAAGTCATTACAGAGAATGGCTCTTAAATAACAGACACAGTTTAAAGTCAATTTAACTATGGAAACATGAGATTATTCAAGTTCAAAATCGGTGAATTAACATATATCATGTTTATCTACACTGAATTTCGTATATTTATTTTTTTTTAGCTCAGATATGCCATAACAAAAACTTTTTTTCGATTACTCAATTCTGAAGACGAGGAAATTCTTAATTTTGTGGGCAAATGTATTAAAGATAACATATATCATATATTAGTCTTATAATTTTATAAATTATTTTTACTGTGTAATTCAATAAATCTGATTGGTTTGCTTGCTAGCACGTGCAAAATTATATTTTACGATATTGACTCGAATTACTAAAAATAACTTAGGGGACAAGCAAAGATGTGTTTATAATAGTGAAAAGTCTTTATAACTTAATACAAATTCCTATATAATGAATTTGTCTCTATCCTTTCCAGAAAAATAATATAACAAATGTAACCCATTGACTCGGTCATTCCTTAAGACCCTTTCACAATTGGCGCACGAGCACTTTACATTACTTTGCGATCGAAATTTTTTAGCTTCGCACGAGATCTCGCATACGTTGCACGATATCTCGCATTCGTTGCATGCTAATCTCAGCGAGATCCGTAGAGAATAAAAATTTTGGTCTGCATGGTATTTCTACGGTAGAAATACCAGACCAAAATTTTTATTCTCTACGGATCTCGCTGAGATTAGTTGCATGCATTTTAGTGATCGCATCAAGTCTCCTCAAAATAGTGGACATGCACACTATTCAGACGCGACCAAATGCGATCCAAATTATCGCAATGCAATGCACGAACATTAGTACGAACGTCTTACAACGTTTTTTGTACTTGTAAGAGTGATGCACGATTTTTAAAGGTCGTAAGATGAATCGCAGCCGTCTATGCGTGTGTTTTGCGACCATGAGACTGTTGCTCAACGTGTCTCATGTAATCATGCAACGTTTTACTATCATTGCACGATTTATCAGCTTCAATTTGCCATGCAAAGATTATATATATACACCATATATATTATATATATATACCAATACGATATCAAACCGCCGAAACACTTTACTGTCATAACAATACAGTCAATAATTAATTGCGCACATTCTAAACGATAACAATATTAGACGAAATAAGAAAAATCGCAGCACTGTGTCGGGTTCTCTCAATTTAGAATTGCGTGGCTGATGGGTGTTGCCTAAATGCACTCGAACGAGCATTCGAACCATGGAACGCAGGATCGCACGAGCGCCGCACGTCCAATCGCATTGGCGCATGTTCAATCGTCCGATCACCTGATCACTTGCGCGATCCTATCGCATTATCTTACAACACTCGCTTTCATTGTATATCAGTCGCATATAGACGCAAGATATATCGCAAGATTTAATGCGTTTGCATCGCACAACGGTCGCTTTAGATCTTGCGAATTTCGTACGAACACTTTTTCATATGCGATTATTTCGGCAATAGTTTACGATCCAAATCAAATTTTTTCGGTCGCACGAATATTTTGTCGCGTCTGCTCGTGCGCCAATTGTGAAAGGGCCTTTAGGTATATCGACTTCACAGAAAAGCATATCGACTTCGCACTTCGTGCTCAGTCGATATATGCTTTTCTGTGAAGTCGATAGTGAAGTCGATATAACTATGGATTGACCACAGGTACTCCCCCTCCCCCTCCCCCTATACATTTTAATGTAAAGTGGGGTATTTTTTGTGTGGAACGATTATTTTGGGGTTTTCACGATTTTTTCCTATGGTACACATGATGAATAAGTGCAATAAATATAATTTGTGAAAAAAATGTCCAACAAGTCCCGGGGTTGAATATGGGGGGGGGGGGTCCTGTCCACAAGTACCTGTGGGATTGACCTCATAAAAGGGCAATATTTGCATAATATAATATCCTTTTGTCATAATAGATCATTGTTAAAATGAGCAATGCCATGTACTTATTGTTACTATATATCCGTTCAATGACTTGTCTTTTTCCTTATTATGGCAATAATTTCATATTTGTTTATTTTTGGGCTCTAAATCAGAGATAAATCATGTATTCTGTATACATTGGGGTCAGCAAGTCCTTGCGTCCGATATTTACTCAGATAACCTAGCTAATGGCGATGAATCACTTGTGAATTATTTTTGTTGTTTTGTTGTTTGTTAAATGTGTCTATTGATTTTTCAATTTTTGACATAACATGGGGGTAATGTGAGAACCGAGGTTTAAATGGATACGGAAACGATCTAATCTTCATTGTCCAAGGTACAAATACAACAAGCGGTTTGGGGTGAAAACGCTCCGTCTCAGATATAGAGATATATATGTGATAGAGATGGGGGAAAATCTTAATAATTCACCTTCTTTTACTCTAGGATATATGTTTTTTTGTTTACTGTAGGATACGTTTACAAGAATGAACATGCTTTTTTTTAAATATAAAATTACTACAAAATTGACAGTACTAAATCTAACCTGAATTTTATGTTATTTGTTGGTTGTTATTTTTTTTTATATATCAATTCATATACTAGTGTATATATATATATATATATATATATATATATATATATATATATATATATATATATATATATATATATATATATATATATATATATATATATATATATATATATATATATATATATATATATATATATATATATATATATATTGTAAATACTCATATGAGGTCAAAGAGAGTTGCATCAGTTGGCATAAAAAGGAGGATACGGAGAGTGTGTCTGAGAGAGGTACGAACGACAACTCTACCAGGGAGATTGGTTCTTCTGTTTGCATTAGTAGAGTAGCAATTTCACTGGGAACCCATAAAAAACAATTTCCGGTTCCGGTGCCCAGGTGAAAAAAATGGCTGAACCTTAAATGAAACTAAAAACAAAAACATTTCTTTTTAGGATAGAATCGTAAGATTACCACCAGTGTGAAGGTGGGAATTTTCTGCTTTTTGAATTAGTAAAATATAGAGTATTCCGACAGATCTGATAATATATCGTGGCATCAGTTACTATACAAGTTGCACTGACCAAGAGGTCACACATTGAATATTGAGGAAGGGTCGCGATGTAAGAACTGTGGATTGATCATGCCGGCGTACCACCTAGTCTGGCTGACACTCGAGATCTTTGTTTTTGGTTTGTTTCACTTTTCTTTATTTGGTGATGTCATATCTAGTTATCCTCTTTAAAAGTCACAGGTCCTATATATAGTATATATAGATAGGTTTCAAAAGCATATAAAATATTTTGCGATTATTAAAGGAACTATTGCAATATGGTCCAGTTTAAATTATATATGTAACAAATTATATTATGACATGAACATCTATTTATATCTTGTTTCACAAAAACTGTAATACTGCTCTTGCAGGGCTAATTGATGTAGTTTGGTGAAATATGATCTAACAGCAACATTATTTAATTATTAATTTGCTTTTCAAAAGAGCTGTGATGAGTACCTCAGTTATCTTGAAAGGAATAAAACATGTATTTTTATCTAATTTAATCTTGTTTATGTACCATATATTTCTAGTATTTCACTTTTTGATTAATAACACTTAAGCACAGGGGCTTGTGTAGAGAAAATAAATCAGTTAGAAAATTAGTACCTCGGAGAAAAAAAAAGTCTTAGTCAATTTCTCGCATAAACATCCAAAATCGACAACTCCTTGGCTTCTGCAGAAAACGAAAGTATGTCATGTGACGTAGAAAAAGTGCCAAATATGAAAAGAGATAGTAGTAGCACTTCTTGGTAAGAAAATGACAAAGTAGTGTCTGGCATTTTTTCTTCTTTTCAAAATTCGAAACTCTCGGATTTCATTCTTGGTAAATGTAAAGCTCTGAGACAAACCGAGCGACACTACGTCACGTGACATACTTTTGTTTCTGCAGAAGCCAAGGAGTTGTCGATTTTGGATGTATACGCGAGAAATTGACTAAGACTGTAAATGTAGTCGAACAAAGATTAAAACCGCATGTAAGACCTTCAAGAAAAAACATTTATTAAGGGATATGAACTGGCTTGTATGTCTAGTTTAATAATTTAAACGAGAAAATAGCCGATGAAGCAAGGTGGTATCCAAAATGGCGTCCTCCCTTGTTTTTTTCTCTGAGGTACTAATTTTCTAACTGATTTATTTTCTCTACACAAGCCCCTGTGACTTAAGTATGCAGTCCATTTCAAGTCGGTACAAAAAATGTATCCTAAATTAAACACTCTCACAACATCAAAGGTCTTGAGTCAACATATTGCTTGGACTGTTGCTGAGAAAGATCATTTGATATTTTCAGGCTTCCTTTTTCTCATTGAAAAGCACCAATCCAATTGAAGCTAAATTTATAAGTAGACAGATATGTAAACAGGAAGGGATCAGTTGACACCTCAAATGCATGTGTTACAAGTTGTTTATCACTGAAAGGTTTAATGTGATTGGTTGACAAATAAGGATAAAAAAAATTGCGAATTGCCCAGCAAGGCATCACTGCAGTCAGCCCATAAAATATCGAATGATCTTTGGGGTCCAACGGCAACATGTTGACTCAGGACCTCTGATGTTATGAGGATGATTTAAGGAACATTTTTCTAGCTTTATGAAATTAACCCTGATATTCCATGAACATAATTAATAAACACTTTTGAAATTTCTGGTGGTCACTTGACTCACTTTTCAGAATTTTGTTGTTGTTATTGTGACAGGGTCTTCCATCATAAGGATAAATAAGGCAAATCTACATAAGGAGGTTCAAATATTTTATTATGTCAAATAATGAAGAATGAATGAAGAAACAAATGAAGAAAAGAAGGTGACCTGTAATGAATGTGACACACTCATACAGACAAATTCACTCACACTATTATTATTTAATTTCAATAGTTTAAAATCAATATTAGATTAATTCTTACCAGATATGACCAAGATTCCATAAGGAATATCTTAGCTAGACTGCCTGCTTTGGTAGATTTTTTGCAGGAGAACATCAACCCTTACTAATTCAAAGTATTGTGCAAGTTCAAAAGAATGAGTCCGTGCCTATGTATTTATACTAACACACACACACATGCGTACATAGCAACTACCCCCACACTGTCTGGTTCTACCACGCTCACCCTGGAATCAACAGTAATCACAAGACAATCATGTGACATTCCAACAACACAATCATGTGACATTCCAACAACACGATCATGTGACACATACCACCTTACAAACCAGAGTACAATACAAACACGATGATGACAAGTATGAATGAAGGAATGAATGGAATTTTACTACAGCTATTTACTATTACATGTAATACCATACTAGCTGTACTAATTAAATAATAACTATAAGTAAAATAAAAATCAGTAATTTTCACTCTGTGACATTATTATTGTGTTTTTGTTTGTTTGATTTTTTTTTCATAATTTATCTTTCCTCAAAAATTATAAATTTATTTTGGCTCAAAATAAATAAAGTTTTGTTAGTATGTTTTGTTTGTTAAGTGCACATTCAAAGACTATTCAGTAGCTTGTTCTTGTGTGTCAAAAAAATTCACTGGTACTGAAAAATTGTACAAACTAGTGTATTAAATATTAGGACAGGTGTGAAAATTTTCTTATTCCAATGCACATCTAGTTTTATAAATCCACAGTAAATACATATGACAGGGCTTTCAAAATCTGCCGGTACCTGGTACTTTTACCCAGCTGAAATCAGAATTGTACCAGTCAAAAATATTCAGTGAAGAAAAATTTGATGACATTTTAATTAAATTGCTTCTGCCAGGTACCTCCTTGTAAACATGGTAAAAGTACCACCTGATTCAAATCTTTTTGGAAGCCCTGCATATGCCATGATGCTCTTTAGAAATTCAATAGATTTGAAGTATAGACAAATTATCAAAGGCTATTCTAAATAATAAAGATGATTATTGACCAGTTTTATATGTGTTAACAGTGATATCTGGGCAGGAGGATGTACAAACAACTGCTTGTGTGGGACGTTGTGACTTTGGCTACAGAATGGACTGTCCCCGAGGACATAGGGTAGCTCCTCGAGATTTGACGTACTATGCTAAACAGACCACAGCCCAGTGCCCTGACTCTGACAACCCGAGCCTGATGTGCCAGACCAGTGAGCAGTGTTGTAGTTACTATGGGGGTGACTGCAGTCTGCCCTTCTCTTATCAGAAAGCATTCCAGGTGTTTAACAACTGTTCAGGATACCAGAACTGTGGCTGGTTCCGTGCAGAGTCTGTACAGATTGGGTCACGCTGCAGCTATAGAGACAAAACAAATTACATCGCTGCCTCCTACAGCTGTATTAAAGGTCGGTCAAGTTTTGTATTATTGCAAATTTTATGCTCAGAGGTGGTTGTTTTTCAGATAGTTCAAAGAGGTGAGAAAAAATATGCCACACATCTAAGAAGTATACATGTCTTATTTTTATGATTTAACATGTTTAATATAAAAAGAACTAACAGAGTAATGATCTGAGTAAAAGCTGAATTTCCTGTCATGAAAAGACAGAAGAATTTATACAGTGTCTACAACAACTACATTGTAATAGATGATCTTCTTTGTACATTTCTCATCAAAATTCATTACTGAATTCACTTGTGAAGAGAGTATTTTTTAAGGAATCTTTGTATGAAAATTCCTTTCTAGAATGATCATGCTAAGATTTAGATTTGTTGAATTTTGTTCTTTTCAGAGGAGACTTTTATTGATATCTGCTCTGAGGCATCAAGACGGGGCAAGTCCGTCTCGCTCCTATACAACGGCTCCCGTTATGCCAATGCTACGGGGGATCCACGTGTCTGTTCCTGTGCTATTTCAACATCTGACTGTGATTCTCCGGGCAGGCTGAAGTTTCGTGCTGTAGATGTCAGACTTCATTCTCACAATGATATCAATCACTGTAATCGTCACAGTCGTGTGACCTTGACTGATACCAAAACATCAGAGGGTTACAGGTGTCAGAACAACTACTTCCAGAAGGGCTTCTATGATCTTTTCTACAGCGCCTCCCCCTATGCTAGGGTATCACTGTACAATCAACCAGGAGTATACCCCTCCCAAGTCTGGTTGGAGGTTTCAGGTAAATGCCTCACCTTTGCTTCAGTTTTCCCCATGTACATATAGGGTATGATGATACTTACATGTATGTGGTAATTATATATTCTGTGAAGCCTTTGACTACATTATAATGCTTCACCTCATTTCTTTTGTTTTAATTGTTTGATGTTGCAGCCACAGTGCGTAATATAGATGTGATTGTAACATGTGGGAGCAACCAGCCTGAGAATTTAGTATTCTGCGGACCCCCATCACTTCTCACCACACCAGCATTTGAACAAAAGACAACGACCAAAACACCAGGTAAGACTAGGCAAGCGCTTAATCTCAGGTGATACAATGGTTATTGAATTGAAATTGAAATACTTCTATGATAATGATATATTATAATATTTATATTTGCTTTCCAGGGGATATATTTGGTCCTTCTGGTAATGAAGGAGAAGTGCCATCTGGTGGAGAAAATGAACCCAGAGAAAAGGAGGATGCAACTCTCAATAAGAAGGGTAAGTGGTCTGATAATATGAGACTGACTTATGTACACATTTTTAGCTCACTTGAGCCAAAGCAAGTGAGCTTTTCTGATCAAAATGTGTAAGTTGTTTGTAGTCATTGTCATGTTCATTGTTTCATAGTTTCATCTCCAGAACCACTAGGCTAATTTCAACCAAACTTTGCACAGAACATCATTTTAATTAAGAAAAGGCAAAAATAGGGTGGGTGTTATAAAAAAATATTCTTCTCAACAAAAAATAAAAATGAAACTTATGTGAAAGCTTTTGACATAGTGTAAATTCAAGTTCAAATCATGACGCCCTGGGCTGGGCTGGGCTGGGCTGAGGCCGCAATAGAGGATCAAAGTTAAAATTTCTTTTCATATCTTCAGTAGACCATTATTAGAGATATGAATATGCAAGCATCCCCAGGTATTGCAGATTCAAGTTTGTGCAAATTGGCCCCCAAGGTATGGTTGGGTTCTAATAGGGGACAAAGTTTTACATGGGAATATATAGGAAAATATGTTTAAATATTTTCTTCTCAAGCATAGCAGGACCATGATTAGTGATATTAATGCAAACATTATCAGATGGTATAGATTCTACTATGTTCAAACCATGGTCGACAGAGGATAGGATGCAACCACAATTGGGCATCAGAGATTTACATGGGAAATTTTTTTTTAAAAAGCTTCTTTTCACAAACAGTGGGACCATGTTTAGTGATACTAATATGCAAACATTGGCATGTCTTGTAGATTTAAGTGTTTGACCCCATAGAGTAGGGTGGGGCCACAATAGAGAATTAATGAAAAAGACTCTACTTGAAAAGAACAACATGGTTATGATTAGTCATATTAATATGCAAGCATCCTATACCCTCTTCCCCCTCCCTCAAGGATAGGATGGGGCAAATATTCTGAAGAATAGTGACTCAGGTGAGTGTTGTGGCCTATGGGCCTCTAGTTATCTGCCTAACATATTGTTTTACAAACTGAAATAAATTTTGTGGAGTTGACAAGGATGCAAACAGATGATATGTCAATCAAATGACTATGTATGTTCTCAAATTGTTATACAATGTGATAAAGACAAAAGATGATACTTTTGAAGAGTTGATCACAGTAGTATTTTATGAATTATTTAAGGTTTTGCATGGCCTGGTAAGTTAATTACTGTGTTACATCTTATGAGGCAGTATGTGTCTGTTTATGACTGTCACCATTGTCAAATAGAGCAGGAATTATTATTTTTTAAATCAATTTTTCTTGAGGAAGCTAGCATAACCTGCAATTCTTACTGGCTAAATTTCATGTTAAAATTTAGTGTATAAACTTGTTCATAAATAAAAAGTTTATTTAAACATTCCTTATGATCAGGAAATAAGGAAGCAATAATAGTAAGCCATAAACAGAGACATTCTGTACCCCACCTTTATCAGCATCTGTGTAGTCTTGAACATATCCAGAGTAATCTCATTGAATGATATCACCACATATTGTTGATGTTTTGAGAGACATCACCAGACACTATTGATGTTTTGAGGGACATCACCAGACACTATTGATGTTTTGAGAGACATCACCGGACACTGTTGATGTTTTGAGGGACATCACCAGACACTATTGATGTTTTGAGAGATATCACCAGAAACTATTGATGTTTTGAGAGATATCACCAAAAACTATTGATGTTTTGAGAGATATCACCAAAAATATTGATGTTTTGTGAGATATCACCAAAAATATTGATGTTTTGAGAGATATCACCAGATACTGTCGATGTTTTGAGAGATATCACCAGATACTATCGATGTTTTGAGAGATATCACCAGATACTGTTTGATGTTTTGAGAGATATCACCAGACACTATTGATGTTTTGAGAGATATCACCAGACACTGTTGATGTTTTGAGAGATATCACCAGAAACTATTGATGTTTTGAGATGGTTTTGGTGTATGAGATACTGTATCAGATCCAGCACTTGTCACCCTCACTAAAGCATGATGTCTCTGTCACTGTTTATCACCAGATTATATTTACATGTACAAGCAGGGCTTATTGTGTACAGTTCAAGAAAAGTATATCATGTATTTTGTCTTGATGTTCTCAAAATGATTGTTTTGTTTGATACTTGATTCCATGTGAGGTCATAGTAATTAACAATACTATGTGTATTACTAATTATTATACTTAAAACAGTCAATCTGAACTATGCTGGATATATTCAAAAGCCTGTCAGAGAAATTTTCAGTATGACAAAGATGTGACACCATACATGACATAAATATATATGCTTATGTCTAATTTAGAAATATGTATGCTGAATACCATGATAAATCTAAAAGAATAAAACAAAATGGTCATTTTATTTTTCACACTTTTACAGGATCTTACTTGCCTAGTAAAAAGTGATGCCGGCTAGTAAAATTTTGCCATTGCTTGCTCGACTTGGCTAGTGCTGAAAAATGTTTTCGGTACACAATACTACAGGGTCCTGAATGACTTTGTTAGATTCATACAACTTCTCACAGATTTTTATTTTGCATGAAATTAAGATTCAGTCAAAATCACTATTTCTGTAGCATTGTTCACATTTTAGAGCTTTAAAATGTAATTTGGGCCCCGATCTGCCCTATAGTGATTAGTCTGTCTATCTGGTCCATCTATCCATCCGATTTCATTTGTCCAGAGAATATTTTCTCTCCCCTTGGCCCAATCAAACTCAAACTTCACCCATAGAATGCCCATAGGTAGAGGATGTGCAGTGACCTTGAACCAATTTCTAGCTGAAAGGTCAAGGTTGAAAAAACTCTCTATGTAAAATCCTTGTCTGGAGCATATTTTCTCTCTCATTGTTGAGTTCAAACTTCATTTATATAGAGTGACTGTGGGTAGAGGATGTGCAGTGACCTTGAACCAATTTTCTAGACAAAAGGTCAAGGATGAAAACTTCTCCGTGTAAAATCCTTGTCCTGAGCATATTTACTCTCGTTGGCCAAGATGAGCTCATGCTACATCTCACCGTTAGAGTGCTCATGTGTAGAGGGTGTGCAGTGACCTTTAGCCAAGTTTCTAAGTTAGTGGACAAATTATAACAAATCTTTGTTAAAAAAAAAAAATTGAGCTTTTTTTCTCCCATTGGCCCCATCCAGTGGCTAAAACTTCATGAAAGAGTGTCCTTAGATAAAGGTCTTTCTTCCTAATTTCCTTTGCTAAAAGCGGGCACTTTGAGATGGTCACCATTTCAAAGGTGTCCGGTTGCAAATTTATCTTCACAGGGATATACTGGAAACAATCATGCATATAATATTAACTTTTGATTTGAAGTTAAGGTCAAAATCTAATAAATGTGTGTTTGATGCTAGATTCATTATGATATCATAATTAATTTAAAAATAACTTTTCCCTTACTTTACAGCTGTGATTAAAGTGACACTGTGATGCAAACACAGGAAAAATGACAGAAATAAAATTTTTGCATGACAACCATGCATTTTGTTCAATTCTTAAAAGTATTAGGTTTCAGAAAGTTACAGGTTTCAGAACTTAAAAAATCTAATTTTATAGAGAAAAAAATAAATTCTTTTCTGCCCCAAGACCATCTTTGCTAGCCAAGAGTTTCTGATCTGCTACTTTTAAGAGTAGTGGATCAGAAACCCTTGGCTAGCAAAGATGCCCCAAGATGTATATTGTTTCTTCCTCCTTATTGTATGTGTGTGCAGAAAAGTTGAAGTTACAATGGTCTAAGTCCAAAGAAATGAGTTTCTGTAGACCGAGGATTTTAATACAATCTTCAAAAAAGATTATCAGAACATATTCCTCACCTTTGCATGCTCCAATTTTACACTAAAATGAAAGTCATGTGACCTTGACATGGACAATAACAATGATATGGTAGATACAACCTTTGTTTTTCTAGCACTTACAATTTGCCGTCTTTCTTGCTTTACAGTGCAGTTGAGTTTGTCAAAACTTCGCTATACTCATATTTTCCATACCACAGTAATTGTTTTGATTTATGATACAAATATCTTTTTAAAAAACACATGATTTTGACTCATTATGTAAGTTTGAATAATATTGAAAATGAAGCATGTTTTTTTTTTTTTATCATTTTTCATTGAAAATGATAGTTTAAAAATGTTTTTTTATTGTGTTTACCTAAAATTACTAGAATGTCCTGATACACCTTATTTTACCAGTTATAGTTATAAAACATCATTTGATTACAGGAATTCATCTCTCGAGAATTCTGTTGGCATCTTTCAGTTACTAGATCTTAACCTTTTATCTGATTCAGCTGCAGAACTATCTGGAACTGACTATCAATGTTTTGCATTAATTTTCATCAATTTAAAAAGAAATGGTTTGTGGAATTTTGTTTTCAACAGTAGACTTATACTTGACATTAGAAAATAAACCTTAAATTTTCTCACTTTAGGCAATTTTATGTTGGAAAATGTATGAAGAAGCCATTGACATTTTCTTTCCTTGCATATAAAGTTACTGTATATTGTGTAAGCACATTGGTTGAGATTTAACCTTTAAGTATAATAATAAATAGGTAGGGTTTGAACCGTTTGATGCTTTCTCCACTGACATTAATGTCAAACATCCTTGTCTTTCTTCTACTCTCCATTTACTCCTAAATACGTAAAAATTCATAAGAATTAATATATCTTACGTGGGGGTGATTGATTATTGGAAGTGTGTTTAACATGGTTGATGACCAAGGAAGATGACCTCAGTGACCTAGTATGGTCACAGTGGGTGATCAGGAGATCCCTAGTCATGCCTGACTGAGCACTGATGGCCTATCTATCAATGGTCAGCGATGGCTCCACGTGAGTCCAGTGTAACATTTCTTGTGTTAAGGAATAAACACCCAATGTTGGTTGACAGTAAGTCTTACAAAACAAAATATGTAAAACTTTGGGAGTCATTTAATATCTACAAAATATCAAATTATTGTGATTGTACATGTATCATTATTTTAATTTTATATATATATACGGTATATATTATGATTATAAATCCATCAGTATGTCATTGACATATCAACATGTTACATTTATTACATAATCCCGATACTGTCTTTAACATATTTATTGTGTATGCAATATGAAGTAATCCTCTCCCTTTATCTGTCTTTGTTACCAGTCATGTAAATGTCCCTTCTACTCTGAGTGAAGGCTCAGTGGGAACACAGTATACAGACTGCATGTTGTGAGATAATCATGTGTATTTTATATGTAAGACCACACGTTTTAGCTTGACATTAATGTTAAATATGTGAACAATTTCAAAGTACTTATGTAAGTAATCATTGTTATTTGACAAATTGGCGTTAGTTTGTTTCAGCACATGTAATGATAACCCGCTTTACTTGACAAGTTTTCCTATCTGTTAGGTGAAATCTGCTGTATTACAATTATATCTACACAACAAAGGAGGATATTGAGAGAAAAATTTAATCCTATTTGAGAACTTAGCATTACCCTGCTATACATTTATAGCTGAGATTGTTCATTGTTGATGCTGCTTATCTACCTTGATTATTTACTAATACAGGTTGTAATTTTTTCAGACCTTGGCCTCATTGTTGGTGCTGTGGCTGGTCTCTTGGTCATCATACTTATCATCGTTATTATCATCATCTGTATTAAACACAGGTTAGTCATCTCTATCAACCAAAAATTGTGTTTAAATAAGTTACATGAATAATGTACTCTTTTTTTTTTTTTATAGAAATTATACTATCTTAATATCTGTGAAATATTAGATGGTATCAAAAGGGAATGTCAGAGTTTGGATTTATTAAGTCCTATTAATGAGTTTTAATATGTGTTTATTTTACAGGAGAGAAAAGCTGCGTAAGAAGCCACCAATGTTGCCACACCCTGTCCCTCTGTCCACACCAAGCTCAGTCATTCCATCTTCATTCCCTTCATCAGACACTGAGGAACGCTACACAGAAGAGCAGTTTGGTGATGATAAATATGGAAATTACTATGAGAGCATGGCTCAGCCTAACGGCAGTATGGATAATAAATCTCCATTCACTCCAGGAAAAGCCATGGGGTCGTTCTTCCCCAATGATCGTCCTAGAGTACCTCCCCCAGCCCCTCCTAGTATTCCTGCCACCCCACCAGTGGGGAAATCTCAAGCCATACAAATCAGAAAATCACCGGAGAACAAATTGGATGCTAACCCTTACCATACTCCTTGGGACGGTTCTGTATTCCAGGCTCCAAGCAACAGAGTGAAGAAGAATGATCTGGCTTATGCCACCAGTGATGAGATTCAGGTGTTGATTCAGAGAATGGAGAACGAGCGTGGACATGTAGCAGAGGGACTCAATATTGCTAAACCTATTCCACAGAAAGGATATATTTACATTGATGATTATCAGAAAGGTCAAGGGGAAAGTTCAAAGGCCACAAATACAGACTTGTATGTCTATCAGAGTGATTCAGATGATTCAGAATCAGAGAGCGAGAACAAACAGGTGAATGGGGACCAATCTGATGAGGCCTCCAATCGGCCATCACAGGGGGAGCAGGGAGTAAGTGAGGGAACCCCCAGATCTAATGACAATTTCTGTGGGAGTGAGGACACTGGGTACCGCTCTGTGGGGAGCCCTGAACATGTGTTAGTGTCGGAGGATGATTATCTTGTGCCTGGGTCCGTGAAGTCAAACTCCAGTAAGGGGACTTCCTCGTCCACAGTAAAGGTTAGTGAGAGGGGGAGTGTGATCTATAATTCATCGTACGGAGAACCATATGATGCCAGACGGAGCGAGGCTGGGAGTAATTCATATGGAGATCCATATGACGCAGTGCAGAAAAAGGAGACTGTTGATGTTAAGACTAAATTCTAAAACTTTGTCTGCATTTATTTAGCAGCTTGCCTGAGAATTAACATACATTGGTAGTGTAAATATTAAGAGGAGTTTTGAAACCTGTGTAAATGTCAGATATAAAGAACATGTGAATATTTTCAGTTAATGTGATTTACAATTATGAAAGGTGGTTTATTAGTGTAAAGTAGAGAAAAAGACCAAGTTGCATAATGTAACAGTTGTATTTACACTACACACACTAGACTTTTACCTGCGAACTGCCAGTTTCCTGGATTGTCCCTGCCTTGTCTCGATGTTGTGATTGGTTGTCGTTAGTCCCTTAGTGTCCATTGTGCCATATACTGCGTGGTGCCGAGTGGGGCACCTGCCACCCCACCCCACCTTGTGGTGCTGTTAATGTTACAGACTGTATCTCATTAAGTTGGCAAAGGACACTGGATGTATAAGTCATAGTATTCTTACTAGTCATATTGGATTAACATGTTAACTGGGGCCTATTGTAGCTTAAAACGAAAGTGAGAGTTACGTAAATTTACCTCCCAAAAAGAAAGAGTGTTTTGTGCATCTACTCCGTTGTAGTGTTGAGAGTATGGTTGTGTCACATTATCTTACTATGCCAGATCTTAATGAGCTGGTCAGGTTGTCATGAAAAAGAAAAGCTTTTTCCCCCTACCAAAGAAGATGAGTGGGATTCATAAAGAGTTTGGGCTTTCAAGGTCAATGTATTTTCTAAATAACATAGTCTGTAGTTAGATTTTGTGTTCATTTGTTTCTTTTACACATAATATTGTAACATGTTTAACATATAATTTTGTGAATTTTATACATCAGTATTAATCTGATATAAAAAGGTTGTAAACAAGATAATATTGTAAACATATTACAAAGATTTCATATATTTGGTCATGTATAAGATATTTGTTGTGTTACATTGTTTCCATCATTTAGACAAGATTTCTTGAGGAAATAATTCTATTTTAATTTATTTTTATTTTTGTGGTTGTGAAATATTATTTACTAATAAAAACTTAAGAGATACAGGGATACTTGAATGATATACTTCTTTTACATTTTGACAAATCATATTTACATAACAATGTTTATGTTAACTCTTTAGCTTTAGAAGGAAGTATTTGTATGTTCATTGTTGTCTATAGTTTGAAGTACTAGGATAGGATCTGAATTTTATAAGAGATTTGAGTTCTCTCTCTTTCTCTCTCTCTCGACTTACTTAGCAGACAGACAGTCATATCAGAGTCAGTTGTAGGACAAGGTTGTGATTTTTAAATGAGGCATTTAATGTTGTTAGCTTCATTCCCTTTTTAGTATTTTTAACAAGGTTTTTCATCTTGATTCCTTCTCCAATAAAAATGTTGCAAAGAGTTTCCATTAGTTAATCATTGAATTACTTCATTGGGCCGATTAAACATTCCAGGTTTTTTTTAATTTTCAAAAAGCAGTTTTCCCTTCACTTTTAGGATTTATCTCCCCCTGGTGCTTCCCTTGTGATACTATCATACAATCATCTACAAACAAGTGGACATTTCTTGGATAGTGTGCTGTCAGCCTCATGTGCTAAAATTATACTTTGAACTCGGTGTTCTTTGCTCAAAGCATAAAGTAGAAGGGAGAATGCTTTTCTGTATCAGTATGTTTAAATTGTTGTATAAAAAAAGAGAGAGAAAAAGAAAAATAGGATTTCACCAAATCTGATTCATATAGCTTATTTCTTTCATTTTAAAAACCTGTGACCGAATGTTTTATTTAATCTATGCATTTGGAACCTTTTATTTAAGAAACATGGTAATATATCTAACTAAATTTGATTTAATTTTTTTTATGAAAAAGAACTAATGCTATTTATATTTACTCTATATAACCATATAAAAGAAGTTTTAAAAGTTGTTATATGTGTTTTGTCTTTTAGAAATTTGTATATAGTATCAATCTAAATATTAATTATAATATTAAATGTAATAAATTTTATATTAGATTTTTCTTTAATGTATTAAAATACTTGTTGTGAAGTATGAGATGAATATTGAAGGATGTTTATTATAATCTTATAGCTGAGTCAGATGAACGTTTTATGGTAAATCAGAGTCAGCCTGACACTTGTGTTGACAGGCCATGTTTTCACAATTTTTCTGTTGTGGTTGTAAAGTATATTGTATTGTTGCCAAATTATTTATTTTTGTCATATAATCTAGAAACATGATTCATTCCAAAATATTGCAAATTTATTTTAACATTCCACAGAATTCTTCATTTGTAGGAATACATGTAATAATTTTCATGACCATAGAAAGATGCATGTTGCCCCACTTTTTTTTTATTAACAAGATTTTAAAGGTGAAGAGAAGCATACTTTTCTTTTTGGTACAAGATTGTACATTCAGCCTGGAAAGACCATGGAGATGTTTAAGTGATAATAATTATAATGTTAAGCTTCACTGCATGATTGGATTACATTTAGTTTATAGGATACTTTTTTCCTCAAAATATTGATCAAGAATTTGATCATGATTCATTTACAGTAGCAACAAAAGTTGTGGTCATATTTTCATAAATTTTTGCCACCTATAAATAAAATATGCGATTATGCCTTAAATTTGATCTTTGTTTTGTTTATTTTTTAACAAGATCTCTCTCTCTCTCTCTCTCTCTCTCTCTCTCTCTCTCTCTCTCTCTCCAATGAGTTGCTAAAGTTAATGAATGAAAACGAAGTACAATTTTATTGATTTGTTTTGTGAAAAAAAAATACTATATTATGTTCATCTGCACAGACATTTCAGGTGAACATAAGGATTTATTTTTGTTCTACATTAGACTAAAAATAGATTGAGAACTTCCAGTTTAGTTCTGAAAAGCTATTTCATCAGCACCTTACCACTCGTGTGAACATAACATTCAGGCACGTGGAATCGAGGGATGGAAAAGGGGGGGGGGGGCTTTTTTTCTGAATGTAAACATCAACTATTAATTTAGATTTAAAATGTTCATTGAAAGTCTGCCCTTCTCCCTTTTTTGGTACAGTATCGTAAAATTTCACTTGCATTAATGGACCTGGCGGCAGAGGTATATGTCAGCTAAAAAAGCTGGTAATCAGGCATTATCAAAATCGTAGAAAAACTGGTGCAAGTTCAACTAAAGTTCAGTTTACTCACCCAAACCAACATACTGGTACATGAGATGACATAATCTTAACATTGAAAGTTTCAACTAGATTTTCTGTATCATGGAAACCATTTAACAATTTATCTTATAGTAGAGTCAGGGAAGGGGGGGGGGGGGTCAAAGATTTTTTTAGGTAACTTATTTTTTTTCTTGTAATGTCTGCCCTTTCAAAATCAACGCTACTTCCTGATATTTATCTCTTCCACATAGCATAAAAAAAATTATGAAATTCCAAATTAATACTTTTGGTTATGTTTAACCCTGCTTTTCTTATTGCATTTTAGGTAGGACTTAGCATAAATATATATGTAAACAAGAAAGATGGAAGAACAATTATTGCTGTTTTTTCAGTCAATATGACGATTTAGCCACCTGAGGACGATTTAGCCACATGAGGAGCCCTACGATAAATATTGTACTCCTCAAGTGGCTAAATCATCATATTGACTGAAAATACAGCAATAATTGTATACTAGTGTTTTCGGGCAACAATTATTAAGTCAGTCATCTCTGGGAAAGAAAATGCCAGCCGCTCGGCATCGGACGATGTTTCGTCACTTCGGGGCTAACACAATTAATGTTGCCCTTAGCCCCAGTCAATATTTTTGTAATATTTTGTGTTCGGAACTATTTTCACGGGGGGGGGGGGGGTTCTTACTTCAGTTACGATCATCCCAAAATTGGGGGGAGCAAAACAAAGAACATGCATTCTTCGTTTTCGCAATAATTGAGTCAAACATAGTCTTTCAGAGGGTTTGAGGGTTTGCAACAAATATATATATATATATATATATATATATATATATATATATATATATATATATATATATATATATATATATATATATATATATATATATATATATATATATATATCTCTATCTATCTACTGTGGAAATTTTCATTCTATGTCCATAACTTTTGTTGATTGAAGTGAGATGTGCGTAACTTTTCACGCGGATGTTGGTAACTTACTTTACAAACAAATTTTGCCGTGAGCAGTTGATATTGACAGCTCAGTACTTATCGAATTGTAATAATATGAATAAATTGATTTTTTCGATTTATCACACATTATCACACAAACAGTAGCATTACCAGCATCCATGGTCACAGCTGATTCACTTGGAGCCTCCAAGTCCCGAATCAGCTCCTACTCATTTTAGAAATATTGATGATTTTTTTCCAGATTTTTAACGGGGCCTTCCTCAGCATGATTTTAACCTTTTATACATGTGCGATAATGCCCAACATTGGAGCCAGGCTCATTAACCAGTTAACGGAAAAAGAAGAAGAAACATTATTGATATAGACAAGCAAAAATAAGCACGGAGAGTGTTCCAGCGCCTAAGGAACACTCCAAGACTACTCTTCAGATCTCATGATTCTCATAATTGATGCAGGGTACCTGTTAATTAACAACGAAAAGACATGAAAACAAAAAGAAAAGAAACTGAAAGAAAATACCCTCCTTTCCCCTACTCCGACGCCAAGGCATGTCAACGTTGTATGACACATATATTCGACAATCGGATATTATTTAAAATTTTGTATATGACAAGCTAGTAAGATATACATTGTTAACACTATAAACAATGTAACATATGCACTGGAACAGGGAGGGATATCGCAGTATATACTGGATATATTAAGATTAATTCAGGTCCATAGTACGCAGCTCCCCTTTTCTGATTATATAATTTTGCTATAGTAAGTTTTCCTTAATGTGTTGCCCCCCCCCCCCACTTATTGTTGCAGTAAGGTCGAGCAGTGGCAAATTCCAGGATTAGTTACGCTTTTTGTTTTGCTTGAAACCCCCCCCCCCCCCACAACTTTCCCATGCACTTTTGAATTTTGAAACCGTTGCTACAGGCCTGATTAATTTTAATTCACATTTGTCTTGTTTTCAGATATATATGTATTTAACTGAATATAATTTAATTCTTATGAGACATCTTCATTATTAACAGATGTCTTTACTGGAAGTGATCTACTCAATACATGGAGATATAATTCTTTCATGATGGACAAGAATTTGGACAAATAATGTGTAATAATTTTTTTTCATTTTTTTTAATGTCAACATTAATATCATAATGAAAATTCAATGAATGTTAGGTTAATAAAAAAAAGTTTCATTTTACTGTACATATCGAAATAACGTGAATTTTGATCGGGACCGAGTTCCTGATAATATGCAACACCAGTGGCGGGAAAGACCAACAGAGTGGGTAGCTGGATTCAAATCATAGGTAACTGAATTGTACGCTTGTTTTCAGTTGTCTAAACAGATTCATGATATTTTCTTGACGTTTGTTATTTCCTAAATTAAATATGTTGGCTATTTTGTAGGCAAAAATCAAATTTATTCACATCTCTCTAACAACTCTAGTGGTTTCTTTTCAATTCTCTTTAGAGAATATTGGACAGGCTTTATATATCTCATGTAAGCTAAATATGTCCACTTCCCTGAAGTAGCTATTTCACCAATAATATATTTTACCAATAAAATAAAATATCTGAATAGTGAAGTCCATAGCTGAAGAACTAGCATTATGGTCAGGTCCAGCACAATCTCTTGATTTAGCTATATAGCTTGAAAAAGCTATATAGCTTTATTAAGCTATTTAAATAGCTTGATAAAGCTGTTTATGTGCGGTTTTTTTAGAAAAATGTTTTGTGTAAAAAATAGACAAAAAGTCGCAAGTATTTGACTATTCATATATGTACTATGGGCTATCAAAACAACAACAGAAATCAATGATAGTTCTATCATTGCAGCATTTGAATACTTTTAAGATGAATTTCCATTGTTTGAGTAACTGTACACTACCTTGTGTGCGTGGATAAGTATGATTGCTTCTCATTGTATTGAATTATTACCAATCAATTATCTTGTTGACCATAATTGGCCTCTTTTATAATTTCAATGAAGAAGTAACTAGTGGTGTTCCAATCATTGATTATAATCGAAAATCAGTCAATTGCTGGCATAATCCAAGTGCTTGATTACAAAATTTTTATTCCGATTAATGGGGTTATTTATTTTATTTCACAAGCATAATAGTTTTTAAGCCGAATATTCCAGCCGCGACTTGTCTATTAACTTATTTGTGCATTGTAATGGCGCAGACGAACAGACGTTGTATTAATACCTGGGTAACAACGCTCATTCCTGGTATGGACGTACTTTGGATTCTACAAAATGAATGATGAACCAGCTGGACTTGATGGAACGTTCTATCGTTAAAATGATATTACCCTAACAACAAGGGCTTGTCCTGAGACACAGCTGGACCACCACAAAAAGTAGTTATTCACCCATTCTTACCATTTAATAAACTAAATTGACAGACTTTGTAAATGTCTGATTATAATTGATTATTAGTTAGTTACAGTAGCCCGATCATCGATTATGGAATTCTTACCGATTCCCATCACTAGAAGTAACTGTATCAATTGCTTTACAGAGCCCCAAAACTTTTAGAACTTTGAGTACAAAGTCTCTTAAGGAGAGACAATTTGATGAGTGATTTTTACATGCATTATTTTCAGAAGAGTTCAAGGTTGAATATTATCACTGCACCAAAGTGCGACTTTTTGTGCATGCTGAGAAAATGACACATTTAAGAAAAAAAGTGAGATGAAATAGCTAAATCAAGCTATTCTGAATAGCTTAATAAAGCTATATATCTAAATCAAGCTATAAAGCTAAATCAAGAGATTGTGCTGGACCTGATGGTTTTATATTTTAGTCTTTGACCATAATGCTACAGATCCCATAATGTAAATAAAAGGCAAATTAACGGTGCAAGATTTTCTGCACACTTTGAGGATGTATTATGCCAAAAAACTCGCTTGTTGTAAAATTTGTTGTCAGATGGCATAAAATTCACAACAAGCGAGTTTAAATGTCTGTAGAGACAACTGTAAAGGGTTAGGAGGTGGATAAAATATACAGGTTGGTTATAGAATATGTCTAGAATTAGGAAATGAAAGGTCGTTGATTGACCAATGCTGGAAAATGGTGAAATACATCCTAAAAGTGCACAGAAAGCATTGCTCCCTAAATTGCACTTTATTTACATTACGGGATCTGTAGCGCTATGGTCAAAGACTAAAATATAAAACCATAATGCTACAGTTCTGCAGCTATAAAGTCCTTCTTGTAATAGCCATTGAAAATAGGATAATCTGACATGATTTATAAGAAATAATTTATTTTTCTAACAAATTATTTACCCTAATCATATTGCCACAATTTTTCTGCCAACTAGTTGCATCTGCCAGGTGTAGAAACAGTTTGATTTTCATGGAATCAGGGATGCATGTTGTAGAACTACTACTAGTTTGATTTACAAATAAAGCTATATTTCGTCAGTTCACATGCATCTTTCTTACGATGTATTCACACAAAACATGTTTTTTTCTACGTCTTGTAAATACACAAAATAATCTGCTATTCCTAACCATTAATTTAAGTGTCTGAATGACCAAGAACAATAGCTTTCCGTTTTGGATAAGACTTGTAAAATTTTCAATATAACAAAAACAACAGCAGATTTATTTTGGGGGAAAAAGCAACTGAAATTGGGAAAGAGCCGATATTCGGATCTAAATTGGGTGTAGAAAAACCACTGCCCATTCACATTATCACTAAAAACAAAGTTATAAAAGACATGTTCTTGGTCTAGTAGATTTTTGGCAGGACTGATGACTTTCACTAGCAGTCAGCCCTGCATGGCTAGCTAATTTTATGGTGAGTTTCAAACACTGGCGAATGTCCATTTCAGCAAGTTGGATAAAGCAAATTTAAAATCACACAAATAAAGATGTTCTATTTATCTCATACGATTATTGTTTTAAACAAAACTTTGAGATATCACTTGTGAAACCATGAATGATTTCAACCCAAATCGATGACGCGTAAATTGATGATGTCGCAATGTTGCCGTTGACATACAGAAAGAAAGTTGTATGTAGATCATGTACTAAATATGAAATCTTGGGATGATATCTGTAGGGTCTTTTAAAACTTTTGTGACAAATTGTTGGAGATTTATTTCATACAAACTTTTGACTGACAGTTGTAAGAACAGAGGAATCATGAATCCTACTCTGAAATCACTCTGTGTACGACGACAATGGCAATGCTAGGCTACTTATAGATCCATGGTAAGTTACATAATACAGTGATTTTTTTCTACCCATTAGGAAAGGGTCTGGTACCGATTCAATTGGGAAAAATAGCATCGAAGTAGAACAAACTTACAAAGGGGGATTTTCTGTCATTTAAACAAATGAAACATTTTTTCCGTTTATTCCAACCTCATAACCTATTACTCCCTGTTTTAAAGAATAAACAACAAGTATATATTGTTTTTCATATCAATGTCCCTTGTTTTTGCATTTTCATGCTTTCAGTTTGTCCAAATGTAGGACACTATGCTGCCTACACAGGTTGGTCCGAGATCCCGCCATATTTCGACTAATCTCTACTTTCAATTTAAGCGGAAGTGAAACAATTAGTCAACTTGTACAATGTTTCATTTAAAAAGAAATACGATGTCATCATAGTCTGTTGCTTGGCAGTTGAATTGGGAATTTTTAATTTTAAAATTGGGAAAAATTAACGTTTTTTGGCATTGGGAATGGTACCGTTTATTGGTACCAGTTATATAAGGAAAAAAAACAAAAAAACGCTGTAGTATAATGTAAGAAAGCATTGTTGAAAGTGGCTAGACTTTCCTGCATGGTCAAATGAATCTTCCACCAAAATTTAACTGCTAGGCCTAAAGTTTCCTATCATAATGATAATGGGGGGGGGGGGGGGGGGATTTAACATCTGTCAGCGCAGTAGCAATGTACAATAAGTTGATCATTTATGAAATTTGACATCTCATTAAAGTATATAAATGAAACTTTTCTTGTTTGTAACAAACCTTTTTGCTCATTTACATTCATCTGATAGTACAGAACTTTCACAAATTGAAATTTCAATAAGTCTACATCTTGATTATGTCAAAACTGGAAGTGCTATTGATAAAGCATACCCGTGGTTAAAGCATAGGTTTATCTAATGGGTCGTATCCACCACACATATGAGATAAATCATGTCATAAAACTCTCCGATTCCAAACAAGATAAATTTTATAAAAATCTGTGCACATTTTTGGCTACACTTAAGATGAATTAGTTCATGCATGAAAAGAGTAGTAATCATGATAGAAAATCAACAGAAAGTAATTGACTTATTGCTAACATTGAAATGAATATCTGAAGATTATTGTGTATGCTATATTACCTAATTAAAGTACATATCAATCAAAATATCTTATTAAAACAGCTTTCAAACTCTCCGCTTCCAAAAAGATTCACCTGTCTCTTTGTTCTTTATTTGATACTCAAAGAGTCCTTTTTCATTATGTTTCATTAAATTTCTGCATTTGCAAGCATTTTTTGTCTGTTCTTGTTTTCATTCAACCCTTATATCAGATGCAAGCTTTTTATTGATGTTATGTTTTTTACGACTTTTCAAGTACATGTATATAACTGACATTTTGAGAAATCTATGACAAACAGTATGCACGTAATTTACTCACGTGTGACATTATCATTGTGTTACCTATTGCCAAGTGTGTTGTTATGCTGAGGGTAACATTACAAATTGTTAAATGCATCTAAACCAATCAGATTTTAGCATTTAATAAGAAAGTATAATGATGAATAATAATATTATAAATGTCTGACATCAAATTCAAGCAAGAATAATGATATCAATATTTCAGAATTGAGAATATCATTAAATACTTGAAGGGATGTTTGAGTTGAATAGTTGTGCAAATCAAATGAATTGATATCATCAAATAATTAAAGATACATTTAAAATTATTATTGAGAAGCTTGGTAGTCAGGTTTATAAACTTATGGCTATAATGGGCCTCTTGTCTGGCACTGTTACATTCTGTATTGATGATTCTGATTTTGGTAAAACTTTTTGTAGATGTGGAATAATAATTGTCTTGGCAACTTATAAACAAATAGAAGAAAAGGATGGAAAAGGATACAACCATAATGAGTAATTCTCAGGTAAAGGAGGGAGTAAAGTCAGTACAGAATGGCGAGTCACAGGAAGAAGACATGAAACACTGTGGCCATGGCAGCACTGCTCAGCCAGAGAAGAACCAAATCAATGCAACAACAAAAGTTGTTCCTGATCATTCAGCCCATCCAGTAGAATTAAATGTGGAAAAAGAAAAAGATTCTAACTTTTCAGCTGCACCAGTTGTGACTGATATGAAAACAGAGACGGATAACTCTAATGCACCTGTTGTATCAAGAAAATCAAGGCAAAAGAAGGATGCCAGTGGAGCAGGGAAAGATGCCAAGGAATCAACAGCCAGTGAAGTTGGGAAAGCAGACAAAAAAAAAACTAAATCAGAACCAAGAACAGAGGCACCTCTTACAGAAGAACAAAATACTAATGCTACTGTTACATTGACAGCTGGAAAAAAGAGAAGGCAGACGGTGGTTAAAATGGAAGCTAAGCCCGAAAGTCCTGATGAAGATGTCACTGGTTCAGAAGTTCCAGCCACAAAGAAAAGAGTGGGAAGACAGGCACAGGAAAAGTCAGTACCTAGTGACAGCAAGGTCCAGCACTGCAATAATGACGAAAATACTGAGGCTATTGAAGTAGGGACAAAGAAAAAAGGACATGGGAAGAAGGTTGTTAAAGAGGAATCTAGCTCACAAAGTAGTGAAGTGAATCCTGAATCAGCAGTTCTGAATGGCAAGAGACAGAGATCAAGACAAAATAAGGTGGAAGATGAATCCAGTCCCAAGAAGCCTAAGCAAGGAAGTAAAGGTACCCAGAATATAGCTGAATCTAGTCCCAAAAAAGCTAAACAAGAAAACATCGATTCCCAGATTATAGCTGAACCCAATAAAAGAAGAGGCAGGAGTAATAAAGCAGAGACTCACAATGGCACAGGGGTGGATGATCCAGCTGAACCAGACAAAAAGAGAGGAAGGGGTAATAAAACTGAGACTCACAAAGGCACAGGGGTGGATGATCCAGCTGAACCGGACAAAAAGAGAGGAAGGGGTAATAAAACAGAGACTCACAAAGACACTGGGGAGGATGATCCTGCTGTGCCGGACAAGAGGAGAGGGAGGGGTAATAAAACAGAGACTCACAAAGACACTCAACTGGATGACCCTACTGAACTGGACAAGAAGAAAGGGAGGGGTAATAAAACAGAGACTCACAAAGACACTGGGGAGGATGATCCTGCTGTGCCGGACAAGAGGAGAGGGAGGGGTAATAAAGCAGAAACAAACAAAGGCACAGGGATGGATGATCCTCCTGAACCAGACAAGAAGAAAGGGAAGGGAAATAAAACAGAGACTCACAAAGGCACAGGGGTGGATGATACAGCTGAACTGAACAAGAAGAAAGGGAGGGGTAATAAAACAGAGACTCACAAAGGCACTGAGCTGGATGATCCTGCTGAACCAGACAAGAAGAAAGGGAAGGGTAAAAAAACAGAGACTCACAAAGGCACAGGGGTGGATGATACAGCTGAACCAAATAAAACAGAGACTCACAATGGCAAAGGGTTGAATGATCCAGGGGAACTGGACAAAAAGAGAGGAAGGGGTAATAAAACAGAGACTGAATCGGACAAGAGGAGAGGGAGGGGTAATAAAACAGAGACTCACAAAGGCACAGGGGTGGATGATCCAGCTCCTAAAGTTCAAATGGGTAAAAAACAGAAACAAGATGCAGAGGAACATAGAATTTCAAAATGGGAAAAAAATGTTGCAAAGTACAAGTGGGCAAATAGTGCTAAGGACAAGTATGTAGGAGCCCATGTATCCATTTCAGGTATGTGTAAAACATTTGAATTGAAGTCTGTATACATATATTTATCTCTAGAAAGAATTTTTATTGCTTATCTTGATGATGTACTGCATTTGTCTTTGTTTTAGGAGGGCTATATAAAGCTGTTCTGGAAGCAGAAGAGTTAGGGGCTAGAGCATTTGGGTTATTTTTGAGGTCCCAGAGACAGTGGGCGAGTAAACCTCTCGAAGACAAAGATGCACAGAGGTTCAAAGATACTTGTAAAGTAGGTGTAGTCAAAGAATTCAACTGACTTTGAAGTTATGATCAGTGTTTATATCCTCAGAAAATGTAAATATAGTGACTTGAAGTCAAACTTGCTTTTATGTAAAATTATTCCTTGTTTTAATTAAAAAATTTTTTTTGTAGAGATGCTTTTAATACCAACAATTTTTAAAGCTTAAGCTACTATCATTTTCAGTTGATTCTAAAAAAAAATAAAAAAGAAAAGAAAATGTGCTATTGGTGTAGTAGTCTGGATACTCTTTCTATATCAAGACGGATCTAAAACATCGGCGTTAGCGTCGGCGTTCCGGTTAAAGTTTTAGGAGCAAGTCCATTCCCAAGTAACTATAAGCCCTACCTGGACCAGACTTGCATGGATTATGCTTCTAGGGATGGACACTACCGCACTTGCTTCGGATGCTGGATCTGACTTAGATTTTCCAGATGAGTGACCAGGTTAAAGTTTTTGGAGCAGGTCCATTCCCAAGTAACTATAAGCTCTACCTTGAACAAACTTGCATGGATGATGCATCTAGGGACGGACACTACCACACTTGCTTCGGATGCTGGATTCGACCTAGATTTTCCACATGAGTGAATTTTAGCCATATTTTAACCAAATTAGCATGGATGATGTAGCTAGGGATGGTCACTTCCAGACTTGCTTTGGATTCTGAATCTGACCTACATTTTCCAGATGAGTGACCAGGATAATTTTTTTGGAGTAGCTATATAATGATATTATGATTAAACTTGCATAGATGGTGCATCTAAGGTTGAAAACTTCCAGACTTACTTTGGATTTTGGAACTGACCAAAATTTTCTTGATTAGTAAACAGGATAAATGTTTTTTGAACAGGTCTATTTCCAAGTAACTATAAGTCGTACTTAAACCAAACTTGCATGGACATTGATCTTGGGATGTACACTAAATAAAAAAAAATATGTGAAATTTGCCTTACTTAAAGATAACATTCGTCAAGGTGAGCTTCGTAATCTTTGATTACCTATGTTTAATCATTGTTTTTGTAATGGTTACCAGGAAAATGGCTATCCCCCTCATGTGATTGTCCCACATGGCTCGTACCTGATGAACTGTGGCTCACCTGACGACGTCAGTCTCCAGAAAAGTCGGGACCTCCTACTGGAAGAGCTCCAGCGATGTGAGAAACTAGGCCTCACAAGGTTCAATTTCCACCCAGGTAAGTATTCACTTACACAGGAAAATTTACAGACTCTTGAAAAAAATTCTTATCTGTTGAAATTTTTTACAATGGTCCCTAGAATTATCAAGAGTCACCTGTATTTATAAACTAGATATCAGAACTGGTTCAATAAACAACAAAATAAATTGTTTAAAACTGTGGACTCAAAGTTTCTGAATATGTTTTTGGAAATTTGCAGGTTCTACGTGTGGAAAAATTTCTGTAGAGGAATGTTTGGACAGGATTGGAGAAAGTATCAACCAGGCACTGGCAAAAACACGAGGTGTCACAGCAGGTAAAATACAACAGGTAGAAACAGGTTGAATAGGGAAGATTCCCAACCGTGATATATTTATTTATTGAAAAGTCAAGATAAATGTGCATGCACGAACATACTTTTTTCTGCTCTTAATAATTCTCATGCCTTGTTCACTCGTAGAGTTTAATTCGAATTAAATGTTACTGCGAATGAAATTTGAACTGCGTTCACACAGAGAATTAAGTGCAAATTAGTTTAATTCAAATTAATTTACTGCGCTTCAAATTACTTAGCTCCATGTGAACGCTTAGTGAAGCTAATTCGAATTAAATTCGGACTCATGCGCAATGGCAAAATAAAGTCACATGGTTTATGGTTGTGGTCAGGTACAGGTAATTATGCTATTTTTGAGTGAGAAACAAAGAAAAAATATGTTAATCTCCAAAAATGTGTGCAGACACTGACAATATGTCAAATGGATCTGATCTGCATAAGATGATGTGATTTGAAAATGATGTCATAATAGCTGTACTGAATAGCCTTACTGTAGAAATAAAGTTTTAATGTGCATTAATTTACTTTGCATTAACTATCATGTGAACGCAATTTAATTTGCATTAGTTTAATTTGCATTATTTTCCTTCGCATTAATTTACTGCGAATCAAATATTTAATGTGCATCCGTGTGACCAGGGTATTAGTGTCTGTTGATTTCTGTCACATTTCTGATTGACATAATGACATGTTATGCTGCAGTGATTGAGAACATGTGCCGCCAAGGAAGCACTGTGGGAGGATCATTTGAGGAGCTGAAGGGAATTATCAGCCGAGTCCACGACAAAAGCAGGATTGGCATTTGTTTGGATACATGTCACATGTTTGCTGCAGGTATCAGTTTTTTAGCACTTTGAAACAAATATACAGTGGACTTAATTTATTCTGATGCTGTGGTTCTCAGTCAAAGTCGTCCAGTTAGGTGAAACATCCCAATATCTGATTGCCTTGATTTTAGCTATAAAACCTTTCATACCTTTAGCAATGGTGAAAAATGCTGTGTTAACTCAATTTATTATACTTTCATGTTAAATACTAAAATCTGATTGGTTTAGACACATTTAACAATCCGTAATGTTACCCTCAGCGTTAGCAACACACTTGACAACGGGTAACATTACAAAAATGTCACATGCGTTCAAATCATGCACATACGGTTCACCGTAGAATTCTCAAAACAACGGTTGTGCGTTTGAAAGAAGCCGAATATACGACGTCAATAAAAGCTTGCGTCTGATGTAGCTTACTTGAAAACTACAAACGACAGTCGAAACATCCTTGCGAGTGCACACTTTAGATGATAAAGGACTTTTTGAGTAGCAAACAAACAATAAAGAGGTTGGTAAATCTTTTCTGAAGCTTTCTTATTGAGAAAAATAGAAGTGGGGAGTTTGAATGCTTTCTAAGCGTGAACTTAACGAGGATCTCTGAATTTTTTTATGACATCCAAAATCAGTAAGACATCCAGTATAATAAAATAAATAGTGCACATTTTTGAGGGTAACAGTTGAAATTGACACCCCTCGGAAAACCATTGTCAACCTTCGCTGACGTGTCGGTTGACAATGGTTTTCTTTGGGGTGTCAATTTCAACTGTTACCCTCAAAAACGTGCACTAATTATATAATGTTTTATTTTGTTATTGTTGCAATATCTTTAATTTAAGAAATGAATTTAAATTTGAGAATTCATGAGGACATGAACTATGACGCTTCAAACCGGCATATTTCATGAAGGGCGTTAGCGCTTCATGAAAAATATTCAGGCATGAAGCGTTGTAGTTCATGTACCTCATGAATTCTCAAAAATTAAATTCATTTCTTAAATTTACATTATTTCACTTGTGACTTGCCACATATTTTTGTCACTCACCAATCATTTTTGAAAAAAAAGTTTGCACTTTTTTTTAAATTCAATAACGTCACATTGGAAATACCTGGTATTCTTACTCATCCCACGGTAGTTCATGAGAACATCAACTTTTTCAAATTTGCAAAGAATCTTAAGGAAAAATATACCCAGGCAAACTGTCAGTAGAGTCTTAATTTTAATTTGAACGCTAATAACATTTATAACTGTACATGTACATACGTACGCCAATAATCCAAAGCAAGAACGCAATAGTAATTGTGTAATTTTGAATGCGATTTTATAAACATCATCAAATTACAGATTGAAGTAAAAAAAATCTGATTTGTATATAAAATACTGTGCATAAAAAATGATTTTATAAAACACAGGAGTCATGGCTATATGTCAATTTGTAAAACCTTTGTTATTATTGTAATCTTACCATGCTTGTTAAAAAACATATATTTGCCAATTATTGAAAAGTTGTTTATATATAAAATTATTTTCCCCTAACCAATAAGTATCTTGAACATGTCAGAGAAGTAAGAGTTTCATGCGTACCTATCGACCTACAATTAACCTTTCACTGAGTTATTGACAACAAGACACAGGAGGTTAAACAATAGGGCCAGCAACAATTAATAGCTGGCTGAAGATGACCGACCAATTAAAAATTACTGTCTGGATAAATAAACTAAAATATAATGTAAAAATGCATTTTGTATTGAAAAAAGACCATCTGGATCTGGAAACCAGAATTCTGGATAAATGAGACAAAATAATGTTTCATTCTGTTCCCAAGAAAAATTTGCCAGAAGCTGAAGTGTCCAGATGTCGATATCTGAAGGTCCACTGTACATGTATTGATATTGTGTAAATTAAGCACAAGAAGGCAATGTATGCTGTCTACCATGCATCTTCTGCTACATCTATTATACCTTATGTGTGCAGACATTGAGAAAGTTGGGCTGAAATTGTTTGGTCTTATATTTCATTCTATTTGAAATTTATGTCCATTTTAACCTAGAATCTAAGTACATGTAAAGACTTTCAATTTTGATGTGGTTTTAATATGCTTTGTGCTTGTCATCAAGCAAAACATGATAATGTTAGTTGTACATGTATGCGTATATGTTTTATGGATGATGGCTGACCATGAAAGCCCTTTTAATTTTTAGCTCTACTGCTCAGAGACCAGAAGAGCTTATGCGATAGTAAGGTGTCCGTCGTCTGTCTGTCCGTCCGTCCATCTGTAAACTTTTCACATTTTAAACTTCTTCTCAAGAACCACTTGGCCAATTTTAACCAAAATTGACACAAAACATCCTTGGGTGAAGAGGAAGTTAAATTGTTAAAATGAAGGGCCAAGCGACTATACAAGGGGAGATAATCAAGAAAAGGCAAAAATAGGGTGGGGTCATTAAAAAATCTTCTTCTCAAGAACCACTGGGCCAGAAAAGCTAAAACTTATGTGGAAGCATCCTGGGGTAGTGTAGATTCTAAATCGTTAAAATCATGACCCCCGGGGTACGGCGGGGCCACAATAGGGTATCCAAGTTTTACATTGATATATAGAAAAAATCTTTTAAAATCTTCTTCTCAAGAACCACTGGGCCAGAAAAGCTGAAACTAATGTGGAAGCATCTTGGGGTAGTGTAGATTCTAAATTGTTAAAATCATGAACCCCGGGGGTAGGGCGGGGCCACAATAGGGAGTCCAAGTTTTACATTGAAATATATAGAAAAAATCTTTAAAAATCCTCTTCTCAAGAACCACTGAACCAGAAAAGCTGAAACTAATGTGGAAGTATCTTGGAGTAGTGTAGATTCTAAATTTTAAAAATCATGACCCCCGGGGGTAGGGTGGGGCCACAATAGGGAGTCTAAGTTTTACATTGAAATATATAGAAAAAATCTTTAAAAATCTTCTTCTCAAGAACCACTTGGCCAGAAAAGCTGAAACTAATGTGAAAGCATCTTGGGGTAGTGTAGATTCTAAATTGTTAAAAACATGACCCCCGGGGGTAGGGCGGGGCCACAGTAGGGTATCCAAGTTTTACATTGAAATATATATAAAAAATTTTTAAAAATCTTCTCAAGAACCGCTGAACCAGAAAAGCTGAAACTAATGTGGAAGAATTTTGGGGTAGTGTAGATACTAAATTGTTAAAATCATGACCCCCAGGGGGTAGGGCGGGGCCACAATAGGGAATCCAAGTTTTACATTGAAATATGTAGAAAAAATCTTTAAAAATCCTCTTCTCAAGAACCACTTGGCCAGAAAAGCTGAAACTTATGTGGAAGCATCCGTGGGTAGTGTAGATTCTAAATTGTTAAAATCAGATCCCCGGGGCTAGGGCGAGGCCACAATAGGTATTACAAGGGGAAAATCGGGTGAAAAACAGCAAGGCCAAAGTTACTCAGGTGAGCGTTGTGGCCCATGGGCCTTTTGTTCTGATTTCAATACAACTTGGCACACAAGTAAACTTTGATAAGATACATAATTTAGTGCATCGTTTTTGATTTCGATAAACGGTGTTGCCATGGTTACTAAAAATAGAAATTCTGTGAAATTCCTTTAAAACGCTACTCCTCCTACAGTTTTGGTCTGATTTCAATATAACTTGGCACACAAGTAAACTACACTAAGATACATAATTTAGTGCATCGGTTTTTGATTTCGATGAACCGTGTTGACATGGTTACTAAAAATAGAAATTTCTGTGAAATTCCTTTAAAATGCTACTCCTCCTACAGTTTTGGTCTGATTTCAATATGACTTGGCACAGAAGTAGACTACATTAAGATACATAATTCTATTTATTGTTGCATGTTGCAAAGTTTAAAATCCAAGTGCTACTTTTCCTTTGTTATACGTACAGACCAGTAGAGTTACAGACTTCTGGTTTAAAATTTGTTTCTTTAACAGGTTATGATATTTCAACAGAAAAGGGTTACCAGAACATGATGGATGAATTTAATTGTGTTGTTGGCCAAAAGTATCTGAAAGCCTTACACCTGAATGACAGTAAAGGTAAAACATTCAGACATTTTGCAGGGGGGTTATTAAAATAAGGCTTGATGCTATTCTTAGACATTTTTATGCCCCGCCATGAATATGGTCGGGTTTTTAGACATTTTTATGCCCCGCCATGAATATGGTCGGGTTATAAAGAGTGTGTCATGTCCGTCTTCCGTCCTTCTGTTGCGCTTTGAGTTTGGCTTAGTTCAGAGCTCAGTTTCAAAGAAACTATTCAAAATATTTTTGTTAAACTTCATATGCTGATACATATTGATGAAAACTATTCAACTGCATCAACATTTTTTGACCATGACCTTTTCTTTGACCTTGACCTCACTTTTCTTTAAGGAGATGGGCGAACATAGTGTGCAGAAAGCCTATAGCTTCAGATATATAAAAATCATGTTCAGTTTGTGAATTTAGCATTTAGAGTAAAGTTCTCATCATTGAAATTTTTAAAATTATGAAAACAAAACTTTTCTGAGGAAAATTTTACATGATAAGTCAAAATCATGTTTCTTTTAAGATATCTGTGTCATAAAGCGAAAAATTTAAGAAAATTATGAGTATAATGAAGATACGACTATTAAACTGCACTGCATAGCAAGAAAAGACTGCACAATATACTGTATGTGTACTTAAAAAAGCGGGCTTTATATTTTAGTGGCTTTGGCACAAACAACGATGCGCTAATTCATTAATACCGCTAAGAAATCATAAATACAATAAACAACATGGACATGTGTAGCGCTAATTCATGATTCTGCCACCAACTCCATACCCAGTGATTGCGCTAAATTTTGAATACATCAATATATGTACACGTACAGTAAGTTCCGGAAAAACAAAGGTTGTATCTACCGTTTCGTTGTTAATTGTGCATGTCACTTTTATTTTTAGCGTAAACTTGTAAACAACATTCAATTGGAGCATGCAAAGGTGAGAAATATGTTGTAATATTCTTTTTTGAAGATTGTATCAAAAATCTTGGTCTACCGACATTCAATTTTTGGTGCTTGAGACAATGGTAACTTCTTCAACTTTTCTGCGCAGGCGTACTATAAGGAGGAAGAAGTAAAGAATATTTTCGTGTTGGGCCATATAAAAATTATTTTTTTCCCCATAAAAGTAGATTTTTTAGGTTCCCAAACCTGTAATTTTCTGAAACCTAATACTCTCAGGAATTGAACAAAATTTGCACGGGTCATGCAAAAATTCTATGTTTGTCAATTTTCCCGTTTGTGCGTCACGTTGTTGCTTTAAAAATAATGTGGTGTTTGTGAGGTAAGAACCCTATCAATGAAAATCCTGAGTATCATTTTCTTTCGAGACTAGCACGCTAACCACTAGAACTGATGAACAGTGGCATTTAAATCATGTTTGTGATAAGACCCTTGACTTAATGGACTTCAGATATTTCTCAAGAAGATGCGAATGTTGTGTCATAAAAGTATATTTTTAAGGTATAATGGGTCTTTGCTCTATATTTTTGGTAACCAAAAATTGTATATTTTTATGCAAACTTTGAGGATTAACTTTCGAAGACCCACTCATATCGAAAAATAGTGTTATAGTATGAGAAAATGACTCTTTTGGCCCTCTTTAGTATGTGTATATTTCATAAGCAAATGATTTCAATCTTTGTGAGATTTTTGCCAATTGTATAGATTATACAAAGAGTATATTTTAATTTTAGATGAAATATCAAGGAAAATTTTGATATAATTGAGATTTAATTTTTCACCTTCATGTTTGTCACAATATAGGCTTTTCGCTCGTCATGTTCACCCATCTTCTTAGTGTTTAGCTCAGTTTTAAATAAACCATTCAAGATATTTTATCAAACTTAGTATGCTGGTACGTATCAGTGAGAGCTATTCAACTGCATTTAAAAAAAACTGTTGACCTTGACCTTTCCTTTGACCTTGACCTCCTCATTATTCTTAAATTTGCATTTTACTTGTAATTAGTTTTAAATAAACCATACAAGATATTTTTATGTAAGCTTATGCACTTACACATAATTTGGTGAGAATATATCATCTATATCCAATTTTTTAGAATTCAATTTTAAAGAAATTATTCAAGGTATTATCTTCAAACTTCATACCCTTATACAAATTTTCATGTTGCATTACTAATATACCCTCGACAGGTATTCATGTCCTATTAACATATTTGTAGTTGAATTTGAGACTATTCTCTGTTCGAAATTATTAAGTACAGACCTAAAAGTTGGCCAGTTTGGAAGAAATCTTAATAAATATGAATTAATGCAATTCAAATCATTAAATGTATGTTGATTAAAAAGAAAATTTCGATGTTTATTTTGATATATCTGTAGTCATCATGGATCAAATGATATTTTAGACATTGTCCTGTATAATTACAAAGTATTGAGTTTTCAAGAGCAAATGAGACCTTTTTGAAGATTGCTCGTAATCCATGAACCAGATCACTGTTTTGATGACCTTAAAATGGAAGATCAGGTAGAAATGACAAGTGAACTATGCATTTGTCAAGCCCTTCCGCTGTAGGGTTCAGAATGATTGGTGCAAATAATCTCAAACTTCTGAGTATTCTGAGTAATGACAACACATGTAAGATTTGGCAATTTATGAGGGGCACTTTGCAATAGGAATGCCCACTTCTCAGCCAGGAACAATAATTCTAAAAATTATTATTTATTACAAAGAATGAGTGCACTTTAGTACGTCATTTGGAACCTTTTCGGCTACCTATTTTAAGCTTTACATTACAATATATTGCTTAATTAAAGCTGAACACGACTCGTAAATAGACATACGCCACTTTCGATATTACTATCTTAGATATCAGCACCAGGGTATACTCTTCGCATTCGTTACACCTGACTGCTTTATTGTCACGGGTATCGGCGTGGAATGGCGACCCGTGTTCGTGCTGGTTATCTTGCATTCCCTTTGTTTACATTTTATTGCAGTTACGTATATTTGTGTTTGTTTTTATACTGCATTGACCTGTGCAACTGTTGTAAGTGTCTTTGGTATCTTACTCTCCTGCATTAGAAGACTTAGCACACAGTTATTTTTGTCGCTACCAAGTGCTGTATAGCATATGTCCGTCTACACCGGTGACGATTGATTACACTGAACAGTGACCAAGTGAGCGGCTCTATATATAGGGGCCCTCAGATACAGCTCCAGTCCATTCGAATATGGAGGACACATTCTTTTTACGAAGCGTGTTCAGCTTTAATCTATGATTATTGTGCAAGTATATTCTTTAGATATTTATTCCTTGAATTTTTTGTCATACATATTTCTATAATTACAGACAATGTCATTGAAAAGAACATGTAGAAGCCTTAAATTCCGGAAATTTGAATGGGACCACTTTCGTATTTAAGGTATTCGCAAATAGGCGGAGACATTTAAATTGCATGGATATGGAATGTAAACATTAGCACATATGATTTTTTTTTCGCACTGCGAATTTAAATGGAGAAGAGAGAGATTGTGTAGTTTCATGGTGCACAAATAATAAATGATTCTAGTGTTTAGGGATGGGGAAGATGTCTCGCCCTGCAGACCATTATACAGAGGCGACATGAGCCTGTACATGTACTTACTAATCACACTGTCAATACCAGAATTCTTTCAAAACACCCCTAATGAAAAAATACAAAGTAAAATAAGAGACATATAATCTTCAAACCCTATTAAAATTTGCGCAAAAATCTTCCATAGTTTGAAGTTGGAAGTACGATAGATACTGTCACAATACAAACACAATGAAATGTTCAGTGAAAGCCTTAGCGTATCGAACAGTGGAATGTCACGTGAGTAAAGTGATTATAATATCAATCGTTGACACTCGGTGAACTGTTAATTTAGTGGCTAATTCGACCGTAGTTTGGAGACTTTTTCAAAAAATTAGATATGAGCCACAATTTGTCCAACATTGTCCTTTGGATATGTTGAAGTTTAAATTAAAATACACATTCCGTGCAAATGAGACCAATGGACAAGTTGCAGCTCGATGTAAACAATGTCGTTGAAAACTAGTATGCATATGAATAACAATAGAAATGTGACAAAACTGTTAGACCCCCGTCTCAAAAGCTAGTGTCGCTCGGCATTATTTAATACTTTCGTGTAATATAATATACCAAAACCTGCTCTTAAGACATTGTTTAATACCTATAAAACATAAAGTTTATGAACTTCGGAATTTTATTTTGCGCAAAACACCGGGACCCAACTCTCATAGCTTAAGTGCACTCATCCTTTGTTAAGCAACTATTTTCATTGCATGCATCTTGAAATAATTCAAGGTTATTTAAAGTCTTTGAAATGGTCTTATGATATAGACATTTGCACCCCAGAAAGTAACCCCCCCCCCCCCCTTCAAAAATACATTTTAGAGAAATCGAATTTCCTTTAATCTTGCCTAAGATAGCACTATTTATTAGCATGAAATGAAATTGGAAGTGATCTGTGTTATCTTGCAAATACTTTTTACACTGTATATTAAATATAACAGTTGAAGTTAATAAAATTGAAATGAGGCTTAAATATTTTTTAAAATATGTAATTTTTCTAAATGCCTTGATACCTATAGTGTTTTATCCAAAAATATATTTTTTGGTCAATTTTCAATGAGAAAATGCATTATTTGTGCTTTTATTCACATTTCTTTAAAATATATTTGAGATTTTATCATTCTCAATAATAATTATAAACTATAATGATTAACTCAAAGAAATAAAAAACATGGGTATAGATGGTTTTCTTATGGCGTATTTTCTCTCCGAGTTATTTCCCTTTGCCGCTATCTTGGAGGTCAACCTGGTGATTTTTTTATTCTTTGTTTTACCAAATTTGAGAGGGTGTAGCAGATATATTTGGGAAAAAGTCTTTATAAAATGAAAATTTAAAAAAAAGGGAGGCCATAACAATTAACTGTATATTCCTCAGAAAAACAATGCTTCCTACCCCACAATGGTCAGTGCAAAAAGTTAAAATTGGTTGAATAATGACGAGACCTCCAATATGGCAGCCAACAGAATATATCTCTTACTAAATTCAGGCCTATCGAAACTATCTACACATGTTTATTCACATTATTTTGTGAATTCAGTGAAACATTTTTGTGAGCATTTTAATTACTTAACTGCTGATTTTCAAAACCTGAGGAATGGACTAACATCTTGTATTATGTATTTTTTGGACTGTGTGATTTCAGCTGAAGTTGGGAGTCACCTGGATACCTTAGAAAACATCTTGTATTATTTATTTTGTTTGGACTATGTGATTTCAGCTGAAGTTGGGAGTCACCTGGATACCTTAGAAAACATCTTGTATTATTTATTTTGTTTGGACTGTGATTTCAGCTGAAGTTGGGAGTCACCTGGATAGGCATGAGAACATAGGACAAGGTAGGATTGGTAAAGCTGGATTCCAGCGGATAATGAATGACCCTCGACTAAACAACATTCCCATGATTCTAGAGACACCCTGTCCCAAGGATGACACTTACGAGAAAGAAGTCCGAATTCTCTACTCCATGTGTAAGTGAGAGCCAAAATAAAGGTCCAGGGCTTTGACTGAGATGGTGTAAAGATACATGTTCTTGATTGTGAACCTGGTTTTGATTTTCGTTTGTTATTAGAATGTACAAAATAAAAAATAGCATGGTCAATGAGTATTTGTCATGGTTTATAAATTAGAGGGGTGATGAATATTTTACAGCACTATTATCCTATCTAATTTCTTAAAGAAGTATATTTATTTACATTTGAGACAAATATGAAAGGGATTTTACTTGAATACAATGAATAGTGATGATAAATTCATTTTATAAATTAAAATAGGGCTTTTCTGATATAATTCATCTTTTGATCAAACTTTCCAGTACATTGAGGTAACACCATTCATATAGAGGCGAGGACACCCATTAAGTTAACCTGACATTTATTAATAAATTAATTGGAGTCCACTCCACAATTTGAGTTACACACTTTATCTTTTATGCATTAGTCTGTAATGGAAGGAAGAACAAAATCTAGAAAAGTAATGATCATAAATCCACTACTGAGTTGGATATTAATGCTTTTGAAGTTTTGTTGAAAGTTTGAATCACAGATAGATCAACTGTTAACTCGAGATAATAGCTAAGGTTAAAAAGACATCTGTCAAATTAATAATAGGGAAATCACAATGGAATACACTGAAATAACTAGTGATGATTTTATCATTTAATATGATAAGCATTGTCATTATATGCGTGTAATTTTAATTAAGACATTTAAAGAAATATGAAGTTTGGCAGTGCATACAATGAATACTCAAATAGAATAGATGAATTGTTTCCTTAACCTGTTTTCCTTTATATCAGATGTTTTTAACAATTCGGTTAGTTAAGCAAGCAGTCGTTGAGTTTATCAATAGGTTGATTATTTATCAGCTACATAATTGATTGTTTTTTAAAGTTAGAATGTATAAACATAAGCAATATTGCCTCGATCATTGAACATTTGATGTTTTTCACTAATGAGGAGAGCTCGAGACCTCATGTTGAAGTGCATGGGTCCTGGGTCTTCTACAGTCAAGTCTGTGCTGCTAGCTGCTGACTGCAAAGAGCTTTGTAGAAGGAGAGCACACTTGGAGGAGAGGAACTCTGATTTCTTGTGACACATGATGATGGTACTTCCTCGAGATCTTAGTGCTAGTATTTTATCACCTTTTTTGGATCCCAGTTCATGAGACTCTAAATGTGATGGTCCAGTAATATGGAATTTTTTTGCTATCCCATCATTTCCCAGAAACAAGATTTGATCTCTGATAGGGCAGTAGTCAAAGTATCCATTAGCAATAGAGAAAGAGTTGCCAAATCTGTCTTTCTCAACAACTCGAAGAAGTTGGTTGTCACTCCTGTACATGCAAAACTGCCAACAGAGAGACCCAATCAACTTATACCCAGACAAATGGCAGGATACAACCAATTTCTGCCCTCCGTACTCAACACCAAAACATTTTCCTTTTGTATCAATGATGTCTTTTGCTTTAACTGTATTATTGGAAGAGAGAGTAAAATAGCGAATCTTGCATAGTTTTGGAAAAGTAACGCAGAAACCTTGATCCCTTTCAGTGATGTCAAATGGAGGACTCTCCATTACTAGGGAAGTGCCACTGTAACCCTTCGCTTCATACAGTTTAATTGAAGAGTTTGCATTGTCAACTAAAGCTATCATGCCATTTTTGAGTATAGCACAGCCAGTTATGGATGCAGATTTCTCCGAGGACAGTTTGGCATCCAGTTCTCGGATGAGTTGGAGTTTTGGATCCGCCACTGGAGGGTAGATACTGTCTACCAGTTGACTTGTCTGTACTGCCTGTTGGAATGTTACGATTCTCTCTGGATCAAGTAAGCAAGCTAATTTCCAACTAAGCAAGTATTCCACGTCACATGTATCCAGTTCTTTGCGCTTACTATCTATTATATTCTTGTACTGTTGTGTGAGGTGGTAAATATTTGTTACATCTTGGGAATTGTCACAGAGTGTTTTCATATGATTCCCGATTTCTGTCAATATATTACTTGATGCAGATTGTATCTCGGAGCATTTCCTCGAACATGTTGTTTTGGTTTCATCAATGCATTTTTCTGTTTCCTCCTGCAGATTATTTATTTTCGATTTAAATTCTTTAAATATTACGTCCAAGCTCTCTTTCACGCGTGCTGGTGACCGTGCTTGCAAATCTGAACTTTTGGTCTGAAGTTCTAATGCCTCCTTGTAGTTTTCTATGCATTGATCGTAATGGTGTCCGCTCTCAGTTTCGGAGGGTGGGAATTCCTCCCTTATTCCAATGGCATCCTTTGGACAGTATTTATGCTGTTCAGCAAACTTGCACTCTGCACACATGGGGATTTTGTGGTACAGGCACTGATAATCTGCCTGAGCGGCGTGGAGAGAACACAATAACTGTTCAGTCGACATCTTGGTGCTATGTCACCAGGAAACTGCGCAATTTTATTTACAAGTGATCGAAGTTAAAAATAACGTTTATAAAATATTCATAAGGGAAATCCTCTTTTCTATTTTTATCAGTCGTCATGTCAGGGTTATTGAACCCCTGATGTAGCTCAGCTTACACAAAATTCGAGTTGGTGTTAAAAAAAGAAAAGAAAATTAATCTATGTGACGCTTGTATATAGTTTTATCATAACGATGTTTACATTTAATCGCATCCCGTGCACTGTCAGAAAAAAGTGTCCTTTTTTAAAAGAATGAACTATATTTTTTTTTTAACTTTTCAGACAGGTCCAAGTAACTTAATGAATTCCAGTTCATGTCACATAATTAATGATATTTATTTGGAACTTTAGCTGTTTAAATGCGTGTCTACGAGAAAACCATGCAGAATGCTATGAAAGCAAGTTTTTCAAAATTTCTTGAAACTTTGCATACAAAGTGAGATCAAGGTCACTTACTTACTGCGTAAGTTTGGTGACGTCATTTGATTTGTTACCATGGATACAGGGAGAATTAGTTTATCGTCAGCCTATTTCTATACCCAGTATGGAAAAATAACACCTTTTGTACATATTCTGTTTGTGTATAAAAAATTTCCATAATATCATCATAACTAATGGATTTAAGGAATTAAAACCTTTGAAAAAAATATTTACAGAATTTTTTCCACATACCTTTTTGAATGTGAAGAGCTACGAGTGCAAAAAGGTCACGATAATTGTAAGAAATAAAGATATTTGAATAGTCTGCAGAAAAACAGCTATAAAATTCCAAGAAACGCTTCCATTGATTTCATATTTTTAAAAAGTGATTGTTTTTAAATATATTATTTAGTAATAATGGGATTTTGGTTGCAAATTTAAATTAATGGAGTTTTCACTCTTGTAAGTGCAGAACTGCAAGTGCAAAAAGGTCACAATAATTCTAAGGGATATTCTGTAGAAAAAACAGGCATAGAATTTTAAGAGACACTTCAGTGATTATATTTTTTATCAAGAAGTATTTGTTTTAAGATATTTAAGTAAAAATAACAGGCAATTTGGTGGCACATTTGAATTAGTTGATTTTTTCACCCTAGCAAAATTACACAATATCTGGGTAGAAAGGCATACTGGACTACTAGAGTGATTACATTTTGAACGTTAAATCATTTCAGGCACATGACCTTCAATCTTCATGACTGAAATTAGCTTATATTTATCCAGAATGTCACAAAGATGCATGATTTGAATATTTGTTTAACCAGAAGTCTTTTTCGAGACTGTAGCTCTACTGGTTTGTACTTCTAACAAAGGAAGAGATAAGTAGCAGTTGGACTTGAAACTTTGCAACAGAAATAAATAGAATAATGATCCTTGATTTGGTCTCTTTTCATGGAAATCTGACTAAAACTAAAGGGGGAGTAGATTTTAAAAGAATTTTACAGAAATTTCTATTTTAGTAACCATAGCAACACCGTTCATCAAAATCAAAATCCGATAAAAAAAATTATGTATCTCAGTGTACTTTACTTGTGTGCCAAGTAATATTGGAATCAGACCAAAACTGTAGGAGGAGTAGCTTTTGTTGACGGACAGACAGACGACCAACCCCTTACTATCGCATAAGCTCTTCTGGTCTCTAACCAGTAGAGCTAAAAATCATGAGTTTTTGACAAGGCTTAATGTATTATAGCAATGAACTGGCTATACATGTAGCTATGGGGCTCATTTTACAGGATCCCTTAGCATGAAAATGCACATTGCAAAAACTGCAAATAACTTGGACATTGCAAAAACTGCAAATTGCAAGTTTAACAGAGAGAGTGTTAAAAAGTGTGAACACATCAGTAAATAAAATCCACTTTTTCACAGTGTTGCCCAAATTTCATACAGTTCTTCATTGCAAAAGTTGTTTTTAAACATGCAAAACATTTTATACAAATGCTGATTTTGTTTGCCCTAAAATTATACAAATGAATGAACAGAACAAAGTTTATGTCTTTTTTAATACCATAAAGTCATAAAAACACAACTAGTATTTAAATGAAATATTTGACAATGCTCAATTAAATTCCTTCAACTGCATTTGAAAAATACCAAATGTATCATGTACATGTACATGTTACTTTTACAGAGAAAATTTAAAGACAGCAACATTATAAAAAATTTTATTACTAAGATGATCTCTAATTTTAAATTGTCAAAAAAAAAAAAAAAAAAAAACAACAAAAAAACAAAAAAAAAAATTAAAAACTCATTTGAAGCTACTACACTGAAATAAAGCAAAATAATAATATTTGAATTAATATGACAAATAATGGCTATGCTGTTCTTAAAAAGACAATTTTTTATGCCCCGCCATGAATATGGCCGGGGCATATAGTGTTTGTCATGTCCGTCTTCCGTCCTTCCGTCCTTCTGTCCTTCCGTCTGTCCTTCCGTCACACTTTGCGTTTAGCTCTGTTCAAAGCTCAGTTTCAAAGAAACTATCCAAGATATTTTTATCAAACTTCATATGCTGATAGATATTGATGAGGGCTATGCAACTGCATCAACATTTTTTGACCTTGACCTTTCCTTTGACCTTGACCTCACTTTTCTTAAATTAGTGTTTAGCTCAGTTTTAAAGATACCATTCAAGATAGTGTAATCAAACTTCATATGTTGATACATACTGATGTAAGCTATTCAATTGCATCAACATTTTTTTGACCTTGACCTTTATTTTGACCTTGACCTCACTTTTCTTAAATTAATGTTTAGCTCTGTTTTAATGAAACCATTCAAGATATTTTTAACAAACTTCATATGCTGATACATACTGATGAGAGCTATTCAACTGCATCAACATTTTTTGACCTTGACCTTTCCCTTGACCTTGACCTCACTTTTCTTAAATTAGTGTCAAACTTCATATGCTGATACATACTGATGAGAGCTATTCAACTGCATCAATATTTTTTGACCTTGACCTTTCCTTTGACCTTGACCTCACTTTTCTTAAATTAGTGTTTAGCTCAGTTTTAAAGAAACCATTCATAATATTTTCATCAAACTTCATATGCTAATACATACTGATGTAACCTTTTCAACTGCATCAACATTTTTTGACCTTGACCTTTCCTTTGACCTTGACCTCACTTTTCTTAAATTAGTGTCAAACTTCATATGCTGATACATACTGATGAGAGCTATTCAACTGCATCAATATTTTTTGACCTTGACCTTTCCTTTGACCTTGACCTCACTTTTCTTAAATTAGTGTTTAGCTCAGTTTTAAAGATACCATTCAAGATAGTGTAATCAAACTTCATATGTTGATACATACTGATGTAAGCTATTCAATTGCATCAACATTTTTTTGACCTTGACCTTTATTTTGACCTTGACCTCACTTTTCTTAAATTAATGTTTAGCTCTGTTTTAATGAAACCATTCAAGATATTTTTAACAAACTTCATATGCTGATACATACTGATGAGAGCTATTCAACTGCATCAACATTTTTTGACCTTGACCTTTCCCTTGACCTTGACCTCACTTTTCTTAAATTAGTGTCAAACTTCATATGCTGATACATACTGATGAGAGCTATTCAACTGCATCAATATTTTTTGACCTTGACCTTTCCTTTGACCTTGACCTCACTTTTCTTAAATTAGTGTTTAGCTCAGTTTTAAAGAAACCATTCATAATATTTTCATCAAACTTCATATGCTAATACATACTGATGTAACCTTTTCAACTGCATCAACATTTTTTGACCTTGACCTTTCCTTTGACCTTGACCTCACTTTTCTTAAATTAGTGTCAAACTTCATATGCTGATACATACTGATGAGAGCTATTCAACTGCATCAATATTTTTTGACCTTGACCTTTCCTTTGACCTTGACCTCACTTTTCTTAAATTAGTGTTTAGCTAAGTTTTAAAGAAACCATTCATAATATTTTCATCAAACTTCATATGTTAATACATACTGATGTAACCTTTTCAACTACATCAACATTTTTTGATCTTGACCTTTCCTTTGATCTTGACCTCACTTTTCTTAAATTAGTTTCTGAATCAAACGTCATATGCTGATACATACTGATGTAAGCTATTCAACTGCAGCAATATTTTTTGACCTTGACCTTTCCTTTGACCTTGACCTCACTTTTCTCAATTTGTGTTAAAATGTTGCATTACTAATATACCCTTGGCGGGGCATTCATGTCCTATGGACATATTTCTAGTATTGATATAACATTTGTATTCCTTTGTATAACTTTGATCCCCTGTTATGGCCCCCCTATTCTCTTGAGGGGGGGGGGGGGGGGTGTCATGATTTGAACAAAATTTGAGTCTACATTACCTGAGGATGCTTCCATTTAAATATGACTAATTATGGCTTTGCTGTTCTTGAGAAGAAGATTTTAAAAGGCTTTTTCCTATGTATTCCTATGTAAAACTTTGATCACCCATTGTGGCCCCACCCTACCCCTGGGGGGAGGGGGGTCATGACTGGAACAAACTTGAATCTTCACTACCTGAGGATGCACCCATATAAAAATGACCAATCATGGCTTTGCTGTTCTTGAGAAGAAGATTTTTACAAATTTTTCCTATGTACATGTATTATATGCAAAACTTTGATCGACCATTCTGGCCCCACCCTACTCACAGGGGTCATGATTGGAACAAATTTGAACCTACACTACTTGAGGATGCTTCCTTTTAAATATGATCAATCATGGCTTTGCTGTTTCTGAGAAGAAGATTTTTAAAGGCTTTTTCCTATGTATTCCTAAGTAAAACTTTGATCACCCATTGTGGCCCCACCCTACCCCTGGAAGTCATGATTTGAACAAACTTGGATCTACACTACCTGAGGATGCTTCCATATAAGTTTCATATTTTCAAGCACAGTGGTTCTTGACAAGTTTTTAGGTGATGCCATCAATTTTTCACAAATTCATGATTATCTCCCCTTGGAAGAAGGTGTGGCCCTTCATTTGAACAAACTTGAATTCCCTTTACCCAAGGATACTTTGTGGAAAGTTTGGTTGAAATTGACACAGTGGTTCTTGAGAAGAAGATGAAAATGTGAAAAGTTTACAACCACGACAACGACGACGACAGACAATGGACATATTTCGATCAGAAAAGCTCACTTGAGCCTTCGGCTCAGGTGAGCTAAAAAAAAGTTTCATCCTTTTCCTTTGGAATGCCTTCGACAGCTTGAAGCATCAACTCTGTACCTTGGCATGGTGCAACAGGCCCTATTGCTAAATGTACTGACTGTAAAATATTCCTGAACAGTATTGCAAATAGTCCAATTTCTGAGATACTTGACACTTTAAGGGAGGGTAATCTCCATTTGACAGGATATGCTTTGCATGATTGAACAATTTATGCTGAGATCTTTCATCTTTTGACCAATTTATATGCACTGATGATATGAATTCAAAATCTGTAAAAGCAATGACAAATTGATGTTTGAATTAAAGTTCATAATTGATATTGCAATAATTATGATAATCAAAGAAGACATTTTAGTACAATAAATTTTTATTTATACCCAAAAGCAAAAGAGCATGTATTTTGATGTTCTAAATGACATTGGGAATTAGGGAATAATTTCAATTTTACAACAAAGGGACCTTGGCAATGCTAGCCTGGATCACCTTTATTTCCTATTTTGTAAGAGATCCAAATGCCTTAACAAGGTTTGCTCCTGAGCTTTTGAGCAGATTTTTGTCTTAACCTATAATTAAAAAATTCTGCATAATGTTTTAGTTCTTACAATAAATTTGAATTCTACAATACCAATTAAACGATATTCAGTTAAAACTCCATGATTAAGTTCCATACCAAAAGCATTAAGAGAGGAACTATATCTTGTGGCGGATGGATTTTTAGAAGAAAATGATCATTTTTTCTCTTTTGAAGTATTTGAAATATGTTAAGTTTGGATTCCTATTTTTCCATGCAGCCTGCACACAGAGTTATTCTGTGCCGTGAACTGTTTCATGCAGGTCCTAAATTATATATTGAATAAAATATCATGAATTTTATCATCATATTTAATAAATATAGCAAATATATTGCGAAAATACAGAAAAAAATAGCCCTAACTTTTGCTTGAAATTAGCACTATTTTAGTATTATCTAAAAATTAACATCACAGGCCCCCACTTTTTATTTTATTTTCTGAATATATAAGATATTTTTAACCATTCTACTTAAATTCAGTAAAATGTCATTACTTTCAAATGATTTTATTGCTTGTTAAAATTTTTAATGCCAGAAAAATGATATTTTTGAGTGCAAAAAGGTCAAATAATTAAACATGCGAAGTAATTTAAAAAAATTTTGTTGTCACAAATTTTAATGTATTTATTCAAAATGAAATAAGGCTATGTTTGTTCCCATAATTTATTTGAATAAAAAAATATTGGAAGGAAAACTTTAAAAATTGAATCATGTGTATGATGTATTTACAGTGCAAAAAGGTCAAACTAAATGCCCTGTAGCGCCAAAAGAAGCGCATTGACTCCCATTTTTTGTTTTCATTTTTAATTAAGCTATGTGTGTAGATTCTAAAAATATACTTGATAAAAAATTCTCATTACTTTTGACGACAGGATCCAACCTCCTTAAATGGCTAATTGAGTTTAATGCAAACCTGCAAATGATCCAAATATAAAACAAGCTAATTCAGAGAATTGTGGCCCCCACTTATGGAAAAAAATGAGGATGGAAGAACTGGACCAAAAAAAAAATGCAGATGGAAAAAGAAAAAGGTCAACCTTAACCTTTCAGCTTTTGGCCTTAAAGTCAATTGGTGTCTTTTTTTATTAAAGAAATAAATTCAAGACCTCAAAGAGAACCAAAGTTATCACCAGGACATTATTTATTGCAAGATATGAATTTTTCAACTAAACCTTTTAACTTTGAAATCAAAGGGGATTTCTTTAAGTCATTGGGAATTATGATATAAAATTTAACAGAAAAAGCTCAAGGGAAACTAAAGTTATTATTTGAGGTTTTTTTGTATTGTAGGAATTTCCAACCTTGACCTTTTGACCTCAAATCAATAGGGATCTTCTCTAGGCTGTAAGGAGTTGTGATTAGAAATGATATTGCAAAAGCTCAAAGGCTTTAAGAGATATTGTTCCCAAATTAAAGTGTTATAGTACATACATGTGCAGACAGAATGACCAATGGACAGACCAATAAACATTTATTGGGGGGGGGGGGGTTGGGGGTTGGGGGGGGGGGTTGGAGGCTGTTACCTGCAGGTATTAGGTCATATGTTTTCTGTTAAGTCCATGACTTCTTCCATTTTCCTCCACTCTTTGCTCTGTAAAATAATTGAAAAAGCCATGAAGTATATATACCCTTATACATTACAGTTAATGCTAAAAATGCTAATGCTGAAACATTTTGAATGAATCATAATTAAATAATTTTAAAGCTCAAAACTTGAACTATATGGACTGGACTTTTCAGTTTATCAGTCACATATTCAGGCATCTTCACCATTTAGACCTAACTTCACATAAATTGTTCTTTGTTATTTTACTTATCAGTAATGTGAATGAGCAGTTACATGTACATTATCATGATTATAGTAACTTGTATGTATACATTATAAAATGTTAACCACATGTACAAACTCTGGTTCATCTCATTGAACTGCATGATAACAATGTCCACTTGATTATATTTTTCAGTGTGGAAATGAAACATATTTGTTAATTTTATTTTTTGAGATATTAAACATTGACATTACCTTTATTATTATGTAGCACCTTAAAAATATTATATTATATTACAGTAAGTGATCACCTGTTTGGTTTGATTCAATTGTTGCCTTGTCAATAGGAACACATTTCTGCTAAAGAATAAACATTAATTTTAATATTAACTATACAATACTTAATAATCCTCATAGTTACATGAATACTTATAACCAGTTATGTACACATAAAATGAAACAGAAATCACACTTGAGATTTTATTTTTAGAACTAATTCAAAACAATATGCAATTGAAATTTTATTTCCAAACAGGATTGGATCATTTACGTGTGAAATGATCAATATTATGAAACTATTGAGTGTAAAAGCCATTCATCAACATTTACTGTAGAATCCTTAATTTATGTGAGTACTAAATATACTCGAATGAGAACAAGAATTAGCAAGTGGACTGCTGCTCAAGAGTTTTCACTTTTTACATGTATTTCAGCTATAACATAATAAAAGCAGGTAATTTTGCTTCATAAGTGAAACTTGATGTATAAGCTACTGAGTAAATTTTAGAAATAATTTGATAAAACTTTTACATATAATTATAAACACACAGTATATGTATATGTACCTTTAAGCTCTTCCTTCAGCTTTACTTCCATACTGATTTTTTAAAGTGTGTTTCTATACATCTTTTGCATATACCTGTAACAATTAGGAATCAAATTAGTTGATAGATATAAATCATTATAGATTGGACATGTAAGTTGTATAAACTTGATATCAATAGGTTTTCACAAACTATAAACACAAAGTCAGTAAATATTTCCAATTATGATATCACTTTGTGATATTATATTTACATGTATAGGGTTGTCCTTAAGACCTGTGGGACTGGGGAATTTCTTCACCTATAATGACATAATTCCCCAATTACTCTGGTATTGCCCTCTCAACCCTCACTAAGGGGAGGAACCCCCAACATGCTTTTTTTTTTTTTTTTTTTTTTTATAAATCTGTTTCATTTCTTATTGACAACCCAAATATCATGTACAGTGTCTCTCTGAAAACTTTAAGGTCAGAAATTAAGTTAATTTCAATGGTTTAGCAAAATTCTTTAAGTTTTTAAACTGCATAATGTTCTTACCAGTTCCAACAGGCAAAACCTCATTCAGCTTGACCCTCTCGGTTAACGGGTTTGCATAATAGCGTCTCCCCTATCAGGTATGGGTGACAACATGTTCTTTTTTCCTTTTCCAGTGTAGACCAAGTATATTTCTGTGTTTGACACATACATGTACATGTAGGTATGTTTACAGAAATTAGACTGTCCAAGTCCCATAACAGCTGTATGGTTCAAGATGGTTAACGATAAGAAGCGTTTCACGGACAGAAATGTCTTATGTGCTGCATTTAAAATACCTTGTATATTCAGCTGAATCTATTTTACAATCTTTCAACAAAGCTAGAGATCTTTTATCATAATATTGTCCTCAAATCAACACTTCATCTTTTCGTCTGCCATTAAGACATCACACTTTTAATTCCTTTAAATAAGGAGAGTTCCACTAAGGGAGATAATTTTTCTAATAGTTTCAGCCAACTTCAATCTATTTTTAAATTAGCATAATGCCATTTGCAACCAAATTCCTTTTAACTATATATTGATTTTGAAGGATTTTTGCAATTAAACTGATATTTATAATGTTTTAAGCGTTTCTTGGGTTTTTACAGCATTCTAAAGATAGTGGTATTTTAAACACATTGATTTAATCTAATTTTAGACCCCACTTTTACAGAATCAGTGTTGATAAATGAAATTAAATAAAATATTTCTAGTTAGAGCACTTTCTTTAAATTTATTTAATATGTAACATTTGAATAAAAGTGCATTTTTTCCTGCAATTTTTTTCTCTTAATCTATGGGTGTTTTTCAAAATATTTTCATAAAATGTGCTAAAAATAGAATATAGGGCTATAATAGGGATCCCCAAAGGTACCTGACAGTTTTGATACTGGGATTTATTAGAGGACACATGATGCTAATCAGAAACAATAAAATCAGTCAAAATGATCACAATGCCTTTCATAATAAAATTTGGATTTTGCGTGGTTTTCTCGTAGACACGCATTTAAGGAGAGGGCATGATTCTTCAAAATGATATTAAAAAATCTATAATCTGATTGATGATCCAGTAAATGATTTTAACAATAAGAAGATTACTGTAAAAAAAAAAAAAATGAATCAACTATTTAACATTCAAGAGGCCTGTCTCGCATAATGAACCTCTATTAGGGCTGGGTATTGGCTAGAGATTTTGTATTGCGATATTTTTAACTGTAATGTGATATGTATTTCAATATTTTCAACAAAAGTTTAAATGGTATATAGATTATTATTATATTATCTTCCTTTTACATGAAGAATGTACATAACTGTGGTAAATAACCAATAAAAGATATCCTGTTAATTGAATTACAGTTAGGCAACGAAATACACCCATACAGCAGCTTTTGTCTTACTATTTGGCTTGATCGCAAATCTTTCTAAAAACTGTTCTTTATATATATTTTATGATAGAATTCCTGAGTCCATGCATTTTGCCGGTATATAAGTATTGCAAAATCGTATTGAAATACGATATTTTTTGGTCAACATATCGCTATATACCGGAATATCGGTATTATTGCCCAGCCCTACCCTCTATACATTAACCAAAAAATGCTTGGACATTGAGAGAATTAATTACGAAAGCTTCTGACATCCTCGCAAGCCAGGGGTCCTGAGTCAACACGTTGCCGTTGGACCCCTGGCATATTCAATATTCGTGGGCTTGCTTCTCTCATTGAGAAGCACCAATCAAATTAAAGCTTTCATAAATAGTTAGATAAGGATTCAGTTGACACCTCAAATGCACGTGTTAAAAGTTGTTTATCATAGAATGGCTTAATGTGATTGGTTGAGAGATGAGAAAAACAATCAAGATTTTTAAATTTTCCGAAAGACGTCGCCACTGTCAGCCCACAAATATTGAATGAAATATGCCAGGGGTCCAACGGCAACGTGTTGACTCGGGACACCTGGCTTACGAGGATGGCTTCTGAGGGCTGCACTAATGTCATATCTTAATTTGTTATAAAATTATTTCAAAATTTGAATTACAGTCTATTGATTGAAATTACAAATTATCGATATCTTACAAATAAGTAATTTGTAATTAAGATTAGAAATGTAATAGATTAATAATTTGAAATTACAAATCGGTAATTTGATATTACAAATCACTAATTTTTAATTACAAATTAGTTATAGGTTATAACAAATTATAGTACTATTAAAACACCTAATTTTCTGTTCATATGTTCTGGAAAGCGTCAGAACGTCAAGAACAGTGAAATACCTATGGTGTTCTGCAAAAAAGCTCAAATAAGACAATACAAGATAAATGAATTGAGGATTTCTTCAAGATTGGTTTGATATTTATGGGTTGTATCCACACTGCTCTCCAATTCGTGATATTATTTATATTCAAATCATGACCCCTGGAGTAGGACGGTGCCATATTATCCTCAATGTGTGTCTTCATTTATCTGTTCAGTTTGCCGTGTTCTTTGACGACTTTGGAACAGAACTGACATTGGAATGATCTCTCGTTTGTGTGGGTGCTACAATGAAGTACCTAAAATCTATCATCTGCATAAGGGTATAATGGGCAATCAAAGTTTTACATTTGAATACAGAAGGAAAATCTTTAAAAATCTTCTTCTCAAGAACAGCAAATCCATGATTAGTCATATTTATTTGGAAGCATCCTCATGTAGTGCAAATTGAAGCTTGTTCAAATCATGACCTCTAGGGATGGGATGGGGCCACAATACGTATGTGATCAAAGTTTTACATACGAATATATAGGAAAAAGAATCTACTGATGGAGAACAGAACGCCCACAGTTTCCCAGTGAGCGTTGTGGCCCATGGGCCTTTAAACTTTATTGAACACAATGACATAAATGCAGTTATTTGTGTTTCTATTCTATATTAGGTTTATGTTGTTTTTAGCTCTACTGGTCAGAGACAAGAAGAGCTTATGCGATAGTAAGGTGTCCGTCGTCCTTCCGTCTGTTTAGCTGTCTGTTTGTCCGTCTGTCTGTAAACAATTTTTCAAAACGCTACTCCTCCTACAGTTTTGATCTTGATTTCATTATAACTTGGCACACAGGTAGACTACACTAAGATACATAATTCAGTGCATCGGTTTTTGATTTCGATGAACAGTGTTACCATGGTTACTAAAAATAGAAATTTCTGTGAAATTCCTTGAAAACGCAATTCCTCCTACAGTTTTACTCTGATTTTAATGTAACTTGGCACACAAGTAGACTACACTAAGATACATAATTTATTGTATCGGTTTTTGATTTCGATGATTGGTGTTGCCATGGTAACTAAAAATAGAAATTTCTGTGAAATTACTTTAAAACGCTACTCCTCCTACAGATTTGGACAGATTTCAATGTAATTTGGCACAGAAGTAGACTACACTAAGATACATAATTGAGTACATCAGTTTTTGATTTCGATGAATGCTGTTGCCATAAAAATAGAAATATCTGTGAAATTCCTTGAAAACGCAATTCCTCTTACACTTTTAGTCTGATTTTAATGTAACTTGGAACACAAGTTAGACTACACTTATATAAATAATTTGATGAATTGGTTTTTGATTTTGATGTATTGTTTTGACATGGCTACTAAAAATATAAATTACTGTAAATTCCTTTAAAACATTAATCCTGCTACAGTTTTGGTTTGCTCTCAATTAAGGACAGATGTTACAAACGAAAAAAATGGATGCCTGGATTGGTATATATTTTTTGACCTATTTTGGTTCTAAATGATTAGAATATTAAATTTCTAAAATATTAAGACATTGTAAACTTTATACGATGTTCAAAAGTCCACCATTTTTCACTTATCCTTATTAATCTATACAAATTTTTGTCACTTTAAATCCAATTATTGTGAAATTTTACAAGAAAAAGAAAAATCTATGCAGTTAAACTTATTCAATTTATCTATATAAACATGACTTTAGTTGTTATTTTCAAGATTTTTGATAAAAATTTGTTTGTATCATCTGTCCTTAATCTAATTTGGCACACAATTAGACTGCACTACCATACATAATAGTGTATATCGGTTTTTAATTTCAGTGAATGGTAATGCCATGGCTACTAAAAATAGAAATTTCTGTGAAATAAGGCTACTCCTCTTACAGTTTTCATTTGATTTCAATATAACTTGGCTACTTTAAGATACATAATTCTATTTATTGCTGCATGTTGCAAAGTTTTAAATCCAAGTGCTACTTTTCCTTTGTTATACGTACAGACCAGTAGAGCTACAGTCTCATCAGAGACTTCTGGTTTGACTTTCCTGTTACTTGAAAAAAATCACAGTTCATTAATGATTCCCATCATAAAAAAATCAATAATTGTTCATAATTAATATACGTTCCTATGCTAGTTCGCATTGATCTTTTTCCCCTTAAGTTTAACCCACCTCCACCTCCTTTCAGCATTCTTAAATCCTTCACCAACCAATTACTACAGGAAAAACACCATGTTTTCCAAACGTTCTTGAAGTGAGTGACCAAATTGGTTTACTAAATTTAAACTAAAAAAAAGAAGAAAAACAAAAACTTTTAACAAAACATGATATCACGGTTACATTACTACTGCATTATGTGTATTCAAATTGGAACTTAGACTAATTATAGCCTGCCAACTTCCCATGTAGGTATATTTAGAATCTTTAAATTTGACCTTCCCATGGGTTCTGCAAACACGCTTCTACAAGTTACTGTGTAGACTGACTTTTCAGACCACAACTCCAAGATGTCGACTGAAATAAGGTGCATTTCTCATGGAGCTTTAGCGGGTCACCTTTGTCTTTACCACAAAGAACCAATGTGTGCAGAGTGCAAGTTTAATGACAAGCACAAATTTTGTCCAAAGGACTCTATTAATATGAAAGACAATATTCCAGGATCAAACACAGACAGAGGACAATGTTATGAACAATGTATGGAGAACTTCAAGAACGCCTTGGAACTTCAACAGAAAAGTTCAGATTACAATGAAAGATTCGCGATGCGCCTACAGGAAAGTCTGGACACACTTTTCAAGGAAATCAAATCGAAAGTAAACAGTGTTCAGAAAGAAACGGAAAACTGCCTTAAAGATACCAGAACAGAATGTATAGGGAAAAGTTCCGACATAGCGTCAGCATCCAAAGACTTATTGACAGAGATTGGGAATCACATGAAAGGCCTTTGCGAGAACACACAGGACGTTACGGATATTGTCCAACGGATTCCACAGTACAGCAAGGTCATCGACAACAAAAGAAAGGAATTGGAATCATGCGACTTGGAATGGAAGTCAACATTGGCGCTCGCTTGTTTGCTAGATCCAGAGAAGATTAATTTCAGACAGGCAATTTTGAATTGTCAGCTGATCGATAGCATTTACCCTCCAGTGGTGGATCCTAAAGTTCATCTCATTAGTGAGTTAGACAGCAAATTGACGTCAGATAAAAATTATCCGTCGATTACCGGATGTTTCGTGCTAAGTAGTGGCACCATTGCTTTAGTTGATAACGCAAACTCTTCTATTAAGATGTTTGCTGTAG